GCTTAGTTGGTTTCGATTATTGCCAAGTGAGATAAAGGAATATGTGTGTGTGTACATAAATTTATATATATATATAAATTTTTAATTTACATGACTCTTCCCACTAAGTTGGAAATTCCTTGGGCATAAAAACTGGTGTGATTCATCCTCCTGTTCCATTCCTGGTGAGTGTGTGTATTTAGTTTATTGGTCCCATGAAAGTATACGTGTGAATAAGATTCAATTCTTTAAAATTCAACCTGTAGTTTAGTACCATCTAGTCTTTGAAAAGTGTAATACTTCATGTAAATATGAGTAGTAAGAACAAAGAAATTTCTCAGCCCCCAGCAGTCCCTGATTTCCATTGCCTCAATCAGAATATAGCCTCCCAGGCTACGAAAACAAAGCATTTTCAGTTTTTTTGCTTTAGTATTAAAATGTATTGAAGGACATAGAAAATATTAATGTTTTATAATAATCAATGGTGTACAAAATAAAAAGTCTAGTTTCTATTTTCAGTCCAAAGAATTAGGGACAATTATAAGCAGCGGTAACCTCAAAATGGAAGATGGTACAATGGAATTGCTTTTTGCTTTGTTCTGTACTGCTTTGAAAAGCAAAAAGCAAAATCCATCAACTTTTCACACAACTTGACCTATTGATCCTACTTCTGGATATTTATCCTAAATAAATACAGTAATTCAAAAGATGCAAGAAGCAAGATAAGTGGAGATTTCACCCTTGAACTCTATGGTGAAAAACTAGAAACACGTAGACGTTCCGTGAAAGGGAAATAGTTCAATAATTATGGGACTGCAACATGTTGGAATATGAGTCAATTTTAAAATAATTATGAAGACTGTGTAACTTTGGAAGAAGAGTATAAAACTGTGTTTGCTAGGATTACAAATGTTGAAAATATGCACGTGTGCCTCTTGGCAAGAAAGAAAGTAACGTGCAGCATGAAGGTGTTCTCCAAGGATAAAATAATACATGCCAGACTACTAACAATGGTTATCTCTGCTGGAAAGGATGATGGCTGATTTTCTCTCCCTCTTCAATCTGCTCTGTAGTTTCCAAGTTCGGCATTAACATTTCTCGTTTTCAGGGCAGAATCCAATGGACTCTGTGAATGAGCCTTTTTGGCCTGGGAAAATAAGGGAGGATGCTGCTGCTGCAGCATATTATGGGTTAGCATTGACTTAACACTATTTTTACAGTAAAATTAAGCGTTCCTTAAAAAAAAAAAGTAAATAGACTGTATTCCCAGAAACTGGCCGCTTCTCCCAACATCTTTGGTTGCCACCCTGGTCTTTGTCGCTAGCCTGGATTATGCTGATAACTTCCGCTTGCCCTGTCTTTTGTCTTGGGCCAGGTCTCATCACAGCAGCCAGAGAACTGATCTGAACACACACCTCAGGTGCGACGCTCCTGCTCAGCAGCCTGTAGCGGCTCCCCGCTTGACACAGAGTGACAGAGGAGGCCTCAGCCCCTGTCTCTAACAGTGCTTTCCCTCCCTCAGGCCAGCCACACTGGCTGCTGACCTTTCCCCCAACAAGCTAGACTTCATCCCTCCTTGGGACTTTTGTGCGCCCTCTGCTGGCAGCTTTCTTCCCCCAACACAACCACAAGCCACTCCCCCCTCTTTTTCCTCTTCTCTGCTTGGATCTTCCTTGACCATCCATATAAGATCCATCCTCTGGCACCCTCCTCTTGCGCATGCTCTCTAGACCCTTAGGAGCCTCCTCCTCCTGCGCATGCTCTCTAGACCCTTAGGAGCCTGCTCATTTTTCCTTATTGCACTGTATGTGCCCCTTCTCCTATTCTATACATGTTATGTATATTATGTAGTCTTCCTCCTACTAAATGTAACTTCCATAAGAGCAGGGGTTTGGGACCTGCTCTGTTCACTGATGAGTCTAATATGTGCCTGGCATATAAATACTTAATATATATTTGTTAAATTAATGTGCTCACAAATGGTTTGAATCCAATGAGGGCCTGCTGGGAGCTCCATTTAGAGGAAAAATACAAGTTGGGGCTGAGACTTGGGTGGAAGAAGCCCCTTATGAAATGTCCAAGAGTCCAGAGCCAGAGTCTTTGGGTCACAGAACACTTGAGTCTGGTCTGGCAGTCACACACAGCATCCCAGGGTTGGATGGAGCTCGTGGTTAGGGCATCCGTTCCTAGACCATACCTCCCTGTTGGGAGGGTGGTCCTTGCTGCCTTTCCCCCAGGAGTTGTGGCAGGTGATAGCTCATTCTTGTAACAGTGGGCCAGGGTGTGAGCAGACCCAGGCTGTCTTCTGGAGGTGCTCACCAACCAGAGTGGACCTGTGTTACCCACGCTGCTCATTAGAGAGGACCAGTGTCAGACAAGTTCAGTTCTCAGCTGGTCACAAAAGGAGCAAGACCCTACTGCACAGGTCCCTCATTGTAAAAAACAGGAAGTCGTCAAAACAACAAAACTAGGAGCTTCACTAATTAGATCACTGGACCCTCCTAAGAAGCAATGCATCCTGGATCAGCTGCTCAATTTGCATGAATGGAATGAAGGGGCAGCAAAAAGGGGAGGGATGAAACAGTGAGCTAGATAGATGATACACTATTTTCCTGCAACAGGGATGTCATTAGCAGCCTCCATCAGCAATCATATCCCTGGAGAAAGATGGTCATTAGTTTTAACTTGACTTAAACATTAAGTGAAACAATGGTTTTTTTTTTTAGTTGGATCTTTTCTTAATGTAAGCAATGAATAGCTTTGATTTTCTTTGTACACTTTGCAAATAGTTTGTGCATTTCCTACCTATGAACGTCACTGCTAATCAGCGTATCCCTCTGGCTGCCCTGTTATTTAACCTGTTTTTGCAAAAACTGTCCACACTGGTGATTTTGGTCAAGCCAAATACACCTGGGTAGGTCCCAACTTGTCAAACTGTACTTCTTTACTCTAGAGAAAAAAGATTGCATGTCTGGAATCTGACCACTTCTCAAGACACCTGTTCTACCCCAAACACCATCATCTTTTGCCTGGCTACCATGTACTCCAGGAGTTGGTCTTCCAACTCTTACATCTACCATCCTGTCTCCTACAGTCTACTCAATTCACTAGCCAGAGTGCCCTTGTGACTAGAATGGGCTTCTTAATTTTACCCACTGGCATTTGTCATGTCAGCTGCTCAACCTCATGCAATAGGATTTAAGTGTGCCCAGAACTATCTCCAAGTGTGTCCAGAACTATCTCCAGAGGTTTGATCTTTTACATCAACCATTCAGGAGAGCTGCTGTCTGTGGAACTGTCTGAAGGCAGAGGAACACAGAGGAATGCCAGGGAGGGCTAGGAGGAACTTCTCTAATCAGGAAAGGAGAATCATACACCACTACTGTAGACAAAAAAAGAACCCACCTAGTTTTATTTTTATAATGTGTTACTGTCTTGTGTGTTGGTAACTGAGTCACCAAAAGTCTGCCCTACTTTGATTGCCAACTCCTCTGAAGTGGCTCAGATATTTCCACTTCTGTGGAGGGATTTGGTTGGTTCTGGTTTTGAGGTAAGGGTAAATAGACTCATGAACTTTTACTGTCATTGGGGTGTGTAGCCTTAGACTAAGAAAACAGTTGTTCTTGTTTAATTCTGAGACTGACATCCAAACAGTCATCCAAATGTCAACCAAAATACTCTAGTTTGATTGTGATTCTGTTTAGGTGATATAATGTAGATCCTCTTCCTATACAAAAGGGTTATCTAAAATATGCCCTAAACTCTAGGAAATCAAGTACTCTTTTATCTCAACTTATTCTAAAGACCTTAGTAAAAATTGTGTAGAGACATTTCTTTACCTTTGGGACAAAGTGGCTTTGATTTTGGAAACCCATTTAAAGTGGCTGATACAAGCATCAGCTAAAATGAAGCTTTGTTCTTTGGTGCGTACTTTTGTGATGCCAGTGATCTGTCATCCACCTCCAAGATCATTATTGGAATGGAACGACTCTGTGCTCATCTTATTTTCTTTTTTGTGAGGTGTGTCATTTGGGAGCTCTGGGGTCACTACTGGCCCATAGACAACTTCACAGGCCATCTCTTCAGCAGGACTGTCCTGGCCTGACAGCTGTTGGCTGAGTCCCCAGGTGCTTCCAGAGCGAGGACTGTTGTGTTAAAACCACCTGCCATCTGTTGGTACAAAATTTTTGGATTCTAAATGATGAGTCACTTATGGCTCCTACTGTTCTTTCTGCTGCCAAGATTAATTTACCTATTGGACTTTATCAGGAAATACACTGGGATAACTTGTCATAAAGCTTTGTCCTATGCAGAGTTCACGTCTCTAATGAGCAATCTTCCCAGGGCCACCAATGGAAAAGATGGAGAAAAAGTGTCCTTTAGGGGAGGCAGGCAGAAGCCACAGTATGACATAATATGACCCTCACTCTGGGGCCTTCCATGCACATAACTGTAACAGCTGGATTCAGTAGGTTTGGGAGTCTAGTAGTGGTTCCATGTTCTCTTGCCAACACTTTGTTAGAAGGGCACCCGTGGTGGTCACCAAGTGTGGCATAAGGTAGGCCCTCAGTGACTGTTGGTTAATTGTATGACTGAGGTCTATGACCACAGAATGGGTAAGTCTCCTTAGGGCCACAGGTTTAGTGTGTTGACCCGGTTGAGCCTATTACCCCAGGTTGCCCAACTGGTAATGCCACATTCACAGCCAAAAAGATCTCTAGATCCCAGTATAGTTCTTAGCACTTCTCAAAATCAAGAGCAGTTTGAATGATGTTTAGGGGAAGCTCAGTGCTAAGACAGAAGCTAGAAGCAGGAGCCATGGGGTTTGTGTGTTGGTATCTGCAGTGTGTGTGTGTGTGTGTGTGTGTGTGTGTGTGTGTAAGAGGACTTAGTTCTAATTATAGAACAAGTGCTTTCCAAAGGAGAAAACTGAACATTGGGTTAACAAATCCCCCTGTCCACGAGCGTGTGGTGGCTAAAGTCTCAGGCTACAGTACAAAATATGCTTCTGCACAAATAGCTTCACACAAATCAGTTTTTATTGTTAGTATCATCATCTTTTGTCCAAAAACTGTTTATTATGATGGTTCAAATCTAGCTTTATTTGCATATCCTAGAATATCCTAAAATGTTTCTGCTTCACGCCTCCCATGTTTTTATCACCCCATAATTCTAAACTCCATGCCACAAGAAAACTCCTAAGAACAGGAGACTCTGACTCTTTCAACCAGGTTCCATTTCCCCCAAGTTTTCTAAAGCTTTCCTGTCTGGAGAAATTAGCAAGTCATGGGTGGGTGGGATTTTATTCTTACCACAGGTGGGCGTGATTTTATGGGTGGTTCTTCCTCCAGCCTCCTAGGGCGGAGGCAGAGTTACACACTTGTGTGCCCGGGGAAGGTGAAGTTCCTCTATTGTAGATCCCAGCCTCAAGCCATTCATCTCTTCTGCATGGTCAGGGATTGGAAGAGGTGGCCAGCTGCATGGGTCTATCCAAGGCACAGCCAGCCTTGCACCCCCTGCTGATCTTTCCAGTCAAAGTGCTGACTGACCAAGCATTGGTGAGATGTATTAAGAAATTTTGCAAACATTCAGAAGTAACCTATTCTAGAGTGATCTGGGGGTGGGGTGCAGCTGGGACAGGGGGACCTTTTTCAGAGCAAACCATGTGGTGGTAATTGCCATCACCAAGGCATCACCAGTGTTTGAGAATATTTCTAACCATTGGTCTTATCTATGCGCAAAATGCCTCTGCTGCTGAGGTAGCAACATTTATGTGCTTCTAGAACTCCTGATGGCTGCCTTCTCTGCCTACCTAGGAGGTAGGAGCATGTACCAGTGCCCAGGGCTTTGTGATGGTTGTGCTCTGGGGCAGGCAGGAAAAGATGCCCAGAAGGTCCGAGGGTTGCCTACTCTCAATGGCAATTTGGCCTCCAGATGAGTTGTGGGAGCACTTTGGCAAATTTTCTACACTTTCACTTCACAGTTGGAAAAATAAGGCTCCACAGTCTTCAGGGCAACTAAGGCCAAGGTGGTCAGATGCACTCCATGCCAGCGAGCAGCTGCGCGGTCCTGGCCTCACATAGGACAGCAAACTAGGCCAGAGGGGTGCCCTCCTCCTCCCACAGAGTATTTAAAATCAGACCACAGGGTGCTTTTGTCACTATGGAAAGAATCTTCTACGTCTGAGGCAGGCCAGTCACCAAAATAGGGAGTAAAATAATTTACCTACACCCAGGTAGGCCACGGGGCCCTTAGTACAAACTCATACAGACTTGTAGGTTTGTATATTTTGAAAACAAATGATTTCTTTACAGACAGAAGTAAAGGAATCAGGTCACACCAACTTGTCTTGGTTTTAGAAGAATTTTGCATACAAAGAAGAACAGCCAAAAGCTACAAACCTGGTCAGTGTCTATGAAAATGTATCCACAGCCAGATGAGCAACCTACCTTTCAGTTCCAGGACTGTTTTAGAAAAATGTTGGAAGCTTTGTATTAGCTGAAGAACTATTCTTTCCCTTGATGTCACCTCAAACAGGAATCCCCAAGAGATTATGCAGAAGGGAAGATAGGGTTAACGGCCTGTTTCTTAAAGACACTTGTGAAAAATACAAATCCCTTAAATCCTAGTTATTTACCAGACTAGAATCCTCTCTTGAAAGTGTTTAATCCTGGTCAAATACAGAAAGACAAACCACTGGCTTCAAGAATCACAGTTCATTGTAAGGGAGGCAGGTGCTCCAGAGAGGACCGCTGTCTTGGAAGGTCCCAACACTGTGGGAGGGAGAAGGCCTGGCCGCAGCTGTCTCAGGAAGAGCCTTGGTCCCCACCGGTGGCCCTGGGGGTGAACTGGATGAATGGCTGAGAGTCCTCCCAGCGCACTCTGCACAGGTGCAGGTGTCACGGCCTCAGAGGACACTCTGTGGACTCAAGGCCAAGGGGCACAGCTGCACCAGGCTCACATGGCACTTAGAACCAGGCTTCCTGGGAGGCCTCAGCACCCAAGCGTGCTCCTTGCTCAGAGACCCAGGGCTCCGGTAGGGTGCCGTGGACTCAGGGCCACCGCTCTCCCTCTTCCTGTGAGATGCCCAGCACCGACATGTGTGGGATCCCGCACTCCTGCAGAGACTTGGTGAGATCAGAGAACCGTCTCCTGGGCACCTCCATTGTTTCAATGCTGCAGTGTCCATAGGTGGCTTTGTTCTTCTGCTCAGCCACAGCAACCACCGTTTGCAGGTCATCAGTTGGCCGGAAATGGCGGACAAACCTTTGGCCCGATGGTGACCTGACAGCGAGCAGCAGCCTGGGTTCTTGTTCTGAGGGTTCCTCCAGGTTTCCAGCCCCAGCGGTGCCCTGCCTCTTGGTGCGGAGGATGAATTTCCTCTCCAGGGCACAAACTTGAGCTTGAGCACTGGAATCTTCTTTGCTTGTCTTCATAGAGCAGGGCCCCTCTTGGTAGCGTGCCTGGATGCTGCTCCGCTGTGGCGAGCAGGCCTTTCTAGCTACTGTGTCCACAGCTCCCTCCTCCAGGCTTCTTCTGTTGATGGAAGGAAGGACCGGGTATTTATTGAGAGAAGAGGAAGCCCCAATGGGCACTTGGTGTAGCCGCTCAGGGATCTCACCAGCGGCTCCCTGAGCTGGCAGTGTGGGCGCACAGGCTCCTAGTTTCTGGCTGCCTGGTGACTCACTGGGATTGGCTGGAGGTGGAGAGGGAAGTGTATGGTGAGCACACTCCTCTGTGCCCTGTGGTTTGTGGAGACGTGGCCTTGTCCGGCCCTTGGCAGACTTGGGCCTGATGAGGTGCATCTTTAGTGAGTCTGGCTGCCAACTGAAGCTGTCAGCAGCTGTGCCGGCAACAGTACTGCGTTCAGGTGTTGCTATGTTCACAGGGGCTTCTGTGGCCATTGCTTCTCAGGACCCCTAAGGAAACAGCAGAAAACAGACAAGGTCATGGGTTAAATAAACTTCCTGGGACAGCTGGGTCCATGCATCCACTCTCCCGGTGCCAAGAATAAGCACCAGTGGGCCAGAGTCTGGGATCTTTCTTGGATTTCTGGCATCTAAAGAGGGACAGGCACTGGGGATGTAGTTCAGTGGTAGAGTACTTGCCTGGCATGCACAAGGCCCTGAGTTCAATCCCCAGTACCCAAATAAAAATAAAATAAAAAAAAAGAGGAACACTAACTTTCATGCATTCATTCATTCATTCATTGTGGGGACTTAGGACTGTCTCAGCGAATCAAAGTTGTTGCAGTTTAAATTAGTGTAATGAGGGAAGACTAGCGTTAGGCCTACAAGTAAATAGCTATTCCAAAGAGTAAAAACTGCTATGAATAAAACAAAGTATTGTATCAAAGAATAGCTAAGGTGGAAAACTAATTATTATTCTTATGAGGAGGGGTCTTTAAGCTGAGAGACCCCACTAATAAAAAGGAACAAATCATGTGACAACGTATAGCAGGGGTCAACCAACATTTCCCATAAATATCATCAGCTTTGGGGGCCGCATGATCTCTGTTACAACTCCTCAAGCCTCCACTACAGCACAAAACGAATACAGGCACTACGTTCAGCACATGGGCTGTGGCTACATTCCAGGACAACTTCATCTACAAAAACAAGGGATAGGCCACACTGGGCCCCAGGGTCACAGTTTGCTTGCCCTTGATCTAGAAAAGTGTCCAGGAAGACGGAAGGGCACAGACGAAGTTCTGGAGCAAGGAGAGTTTCGTGTGCTCAAGGATTTTCTAGCTTCTGGACTGAGGATCCCTCCCTTGGAGGTGGTCTCTTCCATCCACAGATGCAGAGGCATAGTCAGGAGAGTTAGGGGTGTCTGCCTTTGTCCAGAGAGGGAAACTCATGCTGTCAAGATACTCAGCAGGGAAACCAGGCTCAGCTCCACTCAAGAGCATTTATCTACTCACGTACGCCCCTTTGGAGAGCTCCCTTAAGGAAAGGACAAGCAGCCTGCCCTGGCATCATTATTCACAGCAGAACAGCCTCTCTCTGGGATCTCTGTGTTCCCTTTGCACCTCAGTCCTTCCTATTTCCTCTTACTCTATCTACCCAGTTTGCCCTTACTTCACTTTCTTTCCTACTGTCTTGTCATTCAACCTTGCCCCGTGGCGGCGCTGCAGAAATCACTCAACATAATATCCCTCCCTAACTTGGTCATCAGGGGCGGGAGGACAGGAACAGGAAGGCTCCAATGCTGCTCCAGCCACCTGCCAGAGCTCATAAGGCAAGGCACTGGGATTCTAAATGAGGGGTCGACAAACCTTTCCTGTAAAGAGCCAGAGAGTGGCTATTTGGGGCTTTGCAGACCACACAGTCTGTCCTAAGTACTCAATTCTGCCTTTATAGCACAGCCGCAGACAGTATGTAAATGAACTTGTATGGCTGTGTCCAATAAAGCTTCGTTTAAGGACTCCGAAATTTGAATTTCATATAATTTTCAAATGTCACAAACATATTCCTCTTCCCCCCAAAACAATTTAAAAATGCAAAGGCTATTTTTAGCTCACAAGCCACACAGTGACAGTTGACCAGCCAATTTTGGCCCATGGGCTGTAATTTGTCAGACCCCATCCTTCTTTTTTTTTTGGTACCGGGTATTGAACTCATGACCTTGCTGCTGAGCTAGATTCCTGGCCTAAACCCCATCCTAAACCAACTCTAAGAGAAATCTGAGCACATGCTAATGCTACAGCCACACGAAGGGGAAGATAGAGTGGCTGCTCGCTGGTCACACAGCTAGCTGGTGAGAGAGTCTGAGAGACTGTCACAGAACCCAGGTTTTGTGACATTCAGTCCTGTGTCCTTTGCACTCAAAAGAGTTGCTTCTTAGAGGGCCTGTCTTGGTTGTCCCCAGTACATCATGTAAGGTCTCTTGATTTCTGGTTACATTTCTGTCTTTCAACTACCCTGGGAACACTTCAAGGATCTCCACACTGGGTCTCCCACCAAGGGCGCTCATGACAGCCAGTTAAATCCAAAGAGAAGCAACACACCAAGACGTGGTAGAGCATGTCTCTGTGCAGACCCAGGACTACCAAGCCACGTCACCTCCTCTTTCCTCGCCATCTTGGCGATCACTTCATTAACACCACTGCCACCACTTCCTCCTCCCGGTCCATGGTTCCATCTCTCCCAGAACACTGCAAACATCTGGTTGGACTCCCTGTTTCCCTCTGAATCCTGATCACCATGGTGATTACTGCTTTCTCTGCTCACAGGCTGACCACATCCCTCTCAGCCTTGTAAGACCTTCTAGTCATTTCCTAGTACTTCCTTGTCCCCAAACAGCATGTTTGCATGCAAGGACAGAGGACCAGGAATCAGGCGACCTGAATTCTTTTTCAGGCTTATAAGCCCACCACTCTACATTTCTGTTATAGAACTTTCCCCATTTTTTACATTAGCTGCACAACCTGGAAAATATTAAAATACCTGTAAACTTCAGTCTCTTTGCCTACAATACAAAGAGAAGAACATGAAATAATGTAGGTCAAGCAGGAAACACCAAACCTGGTACATAGTAGAGGCTTGACTATATGTTAAGGACTTTCTTGTGTTCTGGTTGTGTATCTGTTTAGTATGTTCCGTTGTTCCAGGTCCGGTGGCTCACCTGTTGCTTTCAAGCTTTAACCCCAGGTCTCCTTGGTGGTCTTCTTCCTAGTCAGTACTAACCAGCAGGGGGAGTTCTAGGACCCATGGCTCCCTGTCTACTACATAGACATGACAGGAGGTTGATTTCAGTGAGCTACTATCTATGCAACTGCCTCAAAAATAGGAAACAATTCCTGAGTCAGTTCTCCCTTCCAAGTACTAACCAGGCCCGACCTTGCTTAGCTTCTGAGGTCAGATGAGATCCGGTGCGTTGAGGGTGGTGTGACTGTAGACTCTGAGTCAATTCTTTCCCTTCTGATTCCACACTTTTACTTTTACTCAAATTCACTTCCTCCAAGCTCCCTTCTTCACCGAGTCCTGAACAGGGTCATTCAAACCCTCTGACTTTCTCTTCTAACCTTGCCATTCTGAGCGCATTTCCAGTGTTGCCTCATTGTAGGGAGCAACCTCTTTCTCACTACCAAAACATGGTATCTCTATATATTCACGATGTCCTGCTGTGTTCAAAATCTTGGACAAAGTTATCCCCTCTTTCCTACTCTCAAGGCCTCTGCGTTTGCTCTGTTCCACTCACAGCTGGAGTCTTTTTCCTCTCTCATTTTCCATTTCTATTTTCACACCCAATCTAGCTGCTAGTATTCAGGAGCCTTCTCCTCGGCGGAATTTTAGCATCAGAATTACCTGCCCATCTCCTTGCTAATTTCATCAATTTCCTGGTCAACGGTGAAGAGTCTGTTTCCCCTCTGAGCTCAGTTTTAAAGTCTTTCTCTTGTAATGAGGCAGCTCTGCCACTGTACTAAGGATGGTGTGAGAAGGCATTACTGTCCAACTGCTGTGCCAAAGACAAGCTCGACTCCCTTCTTTACCCACCCTCCCACTAAGGAATGGCTATTAATTTGCCACAGTTTCTCCAGAATTATCACAAGCTTGGCTTCCACCACCCACACATGCCTCAGGAAGGCTTAGCTGTCAGTAAGTTTGGTAACTTAGAAACCTCTTCCTTTAACAACTTTGATGAGCAAAGTCATATGTTCTCACAGGCTCTGCTGGATTATTTTTAACAGCAAAACTTGAGTATGTGCATGCACTCGCTACACCTTTTGGTGCTATATAATTAGCCATGTTCAGGGGGGTGTCACATTCAAGACACCCTGGTCATAAGATAACATGACTGCGAGCTATCAAGGAGAAAAACCTCCATGATGACTAATTCCCATAAGCCCACTCATGGTTATTTAGAGACTAACACCTCCTTCAGGTAAAACCATTGCATCCAACCTGCTTTCAGAGCCCACTGCCTCCTCCTGAGTGCAGAGACCATCTGTTACATGGAGGGAAGAAACACCAGCTCCTCTAGCATCCAGCGCAAGGGCAGGGGAGGTGGAGGAAACAGGTGTTTGGGAATCTGAGCCAACTGTGCCTTTATATTCACACCGTGGATCCCAAACTCTGCCTGTCACCCTCGGTCCAGGCAGGCTTCTGTAGCAGCCATCATTATCCCTGCTTAGCTCATTTCATCACCCTGAGGCCTGGCAGACACTCAACCACAAAGTGATTTGACAAGATCTAGGTGTGAGCATCCATCAAGCTGCCAGCTGAATAGGCAAGTGGCCTGTTTACTTAAACACAGTAACTGCACTGCAGAGGCCTCCTAGGAGGCAGGAAACAAACACTGAGAACGGTTTCCAAGAAGTTGCCAGAAGGGCAAGTGCCCATTCCTTCAGATTCATCACCAGGTCAACTGGAGGGAAGGAAAATTTGATGAAAAAAGCTACAGCAAGATTTTTGTTTTCCAAGGGTATCCACAACCCACTACAGGGTCCGACTATCCTATTTTACAACCCAAATCTAAACTTACAGTAAAAGCAATAAAATATAACCACCTACATACCATCTGCTGGTATATACCAAGATGCATACATAGGAATTGGTCTTTTAAAAATGTTTACCAGTTAATACCACCTCCTTCCACCCCCACCTCTACCCAACCAGGCTTGCAGGATGAGAGTGCTTAGAAGAACCAACAGGAGATGGTTGTTGGGTGGAGGATGAGAAAACTTTGGTACCATTCCCAGTTCTGCCTCAGACAAATGATTAGAATGCACTGTCCTATGCAGAGTGCCACCCTGAACTAAAAGCCACCAAGTGCTCAACGGATGGGAAAGGGAACTGGGGATGATTCCAGCGGCAAAAGGGCGGGGAGGTGGCGGGGTAATGCAATTATGTACAAGCCCTGCCAGCCCTGGAAGCACACAAGCTTAAGGTGCACAAGGAAGCATTTGCGGGGAAGGGCAGAAAGAGCATCTAGAAAGTCAGAATGGACCTGAACAAAAAGCATAGAAATGGGGGAGGCTCCCTCTGGTTCTCCGTGTCACTGGGACCTCCTTTTCTCCCTCGGGAGAAGGCTGGTCCAGGGGCTGGTTGTGCACAGCCCACCAACATGTCATAGCTCTGTGGTTTCTTAGGCCCCTCCGCAGCCGCAGAGTCTGGAGCTTGTCCTATTCAGCAAAGATAATCTCTGGCAGGGCTTGCTGTGCGCCTGGGGAAAAGCTAGTTCTCACACACTCCCCTCCAGTCTCCTGAGGTTCGTCCCTGAGGCCAGGTCTGGGCAAGCTGTGAGGGCATGATGCCAGGCTTTCTGGAACTGGCCTGTCCCGGCCTCTCTGAGGTCAGCGGGGACTGTGGGCAGGCCAGGGTCGGGCAGCCGCTGGCCTAGCTCACCTCGCAGCTCCGCTCCATCCGCCTCCGCCGCGGGCGCCCGGCTTGGTGCAGCTGGTAAACAGCCACGTCTCCAGGGCAACCGCCAGGGGTGGGGGCCACGTGCTTCCGGTCTGACCGGAACCGGACAGACGAGTGAGAGTGCAGTAGGGGAGGGGGCGGGCAGGCCTTTGTCTTTTGGAGGCAGCAGGAATCCTGGCTTTGGCCTCTTCGTCCTGCAGGCTTCGTCTTTCTCACCTCACCTGCCTGCCTCTGCATCTTGTCTCCTGGGGAGACTGAATCTAGGAGAAGGAGAGTTCTGGCCTGGGCTGCTAGATGGAGAGGGGAGCGGCGTCCTACCTCCACCAGCCCCAGACCAAGTTGTGACTTTGGGTCAGACTTGACCTTCTCAGCGTCCTCCTGTAAAATGAGACTGGGGGACTGATTGTGTCCTGTGGACTCTGGAATCTGAGTGGCTGCTCCTAGGGTGTCTATTGAGAGTTGTGGAGCAGGACCACGTGTCCACTTGCCTTTCTTGCTATCACCCTTTCAGTATCAGCTCCTTGACCTCATTGCCACATCAGACGCACACTAAGCAGCATCCTGAACCTTGTGATCAAGGGCAACCGCACCTTCTTTGAGGGGCAAGCCCAACCTTTAACTCTGCAGCAGTTCTGGGCACTAATACAGTTGCTTTTCAACATCGTCAAGACTTCTTGACGATGGAGTCAGAGGACGGCCCCTTTCCATTCCAGCAGGCAGGAGAAAGCATGGAAGAAAAGCAGACAAGTTTGTAGGTACAATGGTAGATGACCGAGAAAGTTTTCATACCATGGCTTCTATTTTTTCTTTGCAGAGGACAACAAGATTATCTTCCAAGAAGGGAGAGGGAGAGATGGGAGGTTTCAGGAGTGAGAACAAGGTTTGAAATAGCCATGGAGGCTATTGAATAGCCTTGCACTGTGGGCTTTCTCCCTGCCGTGATCCGTGGTCCACTGCTTCAGCCATTCTCTTGGCAGGAATCCTCCATGTCCTTGTCCTGCCTGCTGTCTTTCCATCCCATTCACTTGATGAATCCTCAACCCAAATCTACTGTGCCCAGGTAGTGGAGAAATCTTGGCAGCCACAAACTTTGACCATGGAAAAATTTCATTTCCAACCTCCGTTGGCCCCTCACCCCTGCTCAGCAAGCCTTCCACTCTCCCTTCTCAGCTCTCTCTCCTTTTTCCTCCATGGCTATTTCAAACCTTGTTCTCACTCCTGAAACCTCCCATCTCTCCCTCTCCCTTCTTGGAAGATAATCTTGTTGTCTTCTGCAAAGAAAAAATAGAAGCCATGGTATGAAAACTTTCTCGGTCATCTACCATTGTACCTACAAACTTGTCTGCTTTTCTTCCGTGCTTTCTCCTGCCTGCTGGAATGGAAATGGGCCGTCCTCTGACTCTATCCAAAGTTGAGTGTGTCACCATGGTGCTCCAGAGCCCATTCATTCCCTGCCACATGGTCACATTTGAAAGTCACACTCTCTTTAGACTGCAGGCTTTTGCTCCTGCTGTCCCATTGTCCTAGAAGATTCCTCTCCTCCTCTCTAGCCCCTTCCTTCTTTCATCTACTTAACTCGCATTCATCCTCCATGTCCCAACCTAATGGCTGAAACCTTTTTTCCAAGTTGGAATTAAGATAGCTTCAGGCGTCCCAGCTGGGTTGCTGTCTGCTAGGCTGTAAGTCACTTGCAATAATTTAGAGACTATATCATTAGAAGATACATTACTAGGCATCCAATAACCATAGATTCATTGTCTAGCATTGTGGCTAAATGATTGCTGTTTGGTCTGACCTGGACATGTAGGATTTTGATAAGAGTGACTCTAAGCCTTCTTCAAGGCATTCACAATTTGAGAAAACACAATTGTGCACTGAGAAAGAGTTCCGAATCAGATTCTTTGTAATACCGTTTGAGTCAAGGGTAGCAGAGCAGGCAGGATGTGATTGTATGGGAAGTGGTGGGCACGGCCATCACATTTTTGGGAGACAGGCAAAAGGGGATCATTTCAGTGGTTACATTTTTGACCACCTCAGAGAGGATTCTGCCAACCATGAGAGCTGCTGGTGAGAGCTTGGGCCGGGCCAGCTTCCTGTTAAGGGTTCTTCCTGCCTACCCTCCAAATTTAGGAGGCATGGTGGCCCTAGGAAGGTGCAGGAGGTGCTGCCTTAGGATTTGATGGTTTTGCAGCTCAGAGCTGGTACCTTATTTTTTGTTAATGATTCTGTCAGAAATATTTAAGTGATGCTCTTGAGCCCTTTAGCACCCACTCAGAAAAGATTAAAGTAGATTCTTCATCAGCTATTTTAACATCACCTAAGAATTATGCAATCCTTTGGAGAATTGAATTGGCTTCTCACCCCCTGTGCATGCATGCGTGTGTGCTCTTGCTGGAGCAGTAAATTAATGGTTATGCCTATGGCCTGATTCATCCTCAGCAGTACATGTCTTTTGCTCTTCAGGGTCATGAAGTATATAGCCCCCAGGAGAGGCTGGAAGTTAAGGGAAAAAAAAAAGAAGGAAGCCAGTCAATCCATGCCTGTGACTTTCCTATCTCCTGACCTTCTTTAAAGAAGGTGTCTTTGTGGTTGGCGGTATGCTCAATGGTAGAGCACTTGCTTAGCCTATGTGAGGCCCTGAGTTCCATTGCCAGCACTGGAAAAAAAGAGGTATAATGCTCAGTCTCTGGCACATATACACAAAATAGAGAGCTCATTGCCCTACAAGCTTAAATGTAGACACTTCTTCCTTTCCAGTCATACCTCGCTCTGCTCATCAGCCCTGTCCTTGGGCTGCAGTCCCCTTGTTGTGCAGATAGCCTTCAATTTGCTCATCTCCATTGTCTTTGCTCATGCCTGCACCACCTTGCTCTCTTCCTTGAAATGAACCCAAAGCACCAGACCTTTCAAATCCCTTCTTAAAAGCCACGTCTTCCATGAAGCCTTTTCCTAACCACCCAATGTCATGTGCTCCTTCTGGTTTCCTTCTTGTCCAATGGAGCAAGCCCAAGAGGATGCCGTGCACCCTCACTGGGACAGTTGCTTTAATGTCTGTGACTCTCCACCGTGGAAGCACCACTGGCCTTTTCATCCTTAAAAAACAACTGTTCTCAGAACCTTCAGCTGACAAGCAGCAGAGCAGTTCTGGAACTCACATTGGCTGTTTCCACCCTCTATCCAGACCCCCACCCTCACCTTGCGTTCCCAAATGGAACTTTATCTTGAACCACCTACTGAGCTGGTCATAGGAGTTGCAGCCATGGCCTCTGGAATCAACGATGGTGTTTCATTCCTGGCTCTATCACTTGTCAGCTGAGGACCTTGGACAATTGATGTATCATCCCTGGACTTCTGTTTCCATATCTATAAAGCATAAATGTGTAGGATATCATTGTTGTACGAGTGAAATGAGATAATATACATAAGGATCTTCGTGCCGCACCTGCCACATAGAAGTGCTTGGTGAGAGTTAGCAATCTTTAGATTATATTCATCTTACTGTGGCGCTCTCCTTCGGTAGCCTCTGAGCTCTGCAACGGCAGAAACTTGCCTCTCTCTGACTCCCCTGCTTTGTTCACACAATACTTGCTTTGTGATAGGTGCTCAGTAAATGAGAATTGAATTGATGACACTGTGCTGATTCGCAGCTAGCTTTTCTGGAGAGACCCAGCAAGCCGCCAGTTAGTACCCACACAGAATAACTGGCCTGGGGTCTAAATCAACTCCCTCAGACCTCTCTCAGGGTTGGCTGAAGGCAGGAAGTCTACTTTCTTAGCAGTTTGTCTCCAAAGAGCATTTGACCCAGTTTTGAATTAGTAACATTGAGATTTCAGCATCTCTATACCCTATACACCAGTGTCTTGCTCTACTGGTCCTTGATCCCACCGAAGCGCTGGATTGAGATCACAGGTAACCTTTAAGCGGAAGGTAAACAATGTGGATAATTAGGAATGAGGCCAAGAGGCTGGTGCAGTTAGTCATGTCTCCTGGTGAATCAGCTTCCTGAGGGGACCTGCGAGAAGCAAGTTTCTGGATAATGAAATGTATTTACCCCTTGAGATACTGTAGCATTTTTATTATTCCTCCCACGTTGTTGGAAAGTATCCAGAAATGCGTTGCCTATTTTGCAGTCTTGTTAAGAAGAGTTTATCAAGCACCGTCACTCACCTCAGCCATGTTGACCAAGTGGTTTCACCTTCAAGAGTTTTCTGAAGCTCGCTGGTCCTCTCGTGTGTGTGTGTGGAAAGGGAGCAGGGTCAGTGTTTCCACCACAGATCTAGTGAGACCTGAGGGTCAGGGAGCTTACATTGTTAAGACAGGAAATGGTGGGACAGCTTCAGCCCTCTTCTCTGACATCAAAACTTTAACATGGATCTGCCATAGAATCTTCTTTGACGTAGAATCCATTAATTCAGCTCTATCTTCCTGTCTCTTGCACAATTCAACCTTTTTGGCACCTCAAAGCCAGTAATTGTCCTCTAGCTGCAATATTGTTGTGAGTCAAGCAATCTGCTCTTACATTCGGTGGTCCCAAGTTTCGCAGCTTTGATGGTTATTAGTTTAATCATCTCTCTCTAGCTTTCCCACTAAGAAAAGCCATTCTTAACTCCATTGCTGCTCAACTGCTGGGCTGAGGGACTTGTTGGAACTACGTGTAAAGCAAGAACGTTGTGGTATCTAGTGAGCTGCTTGGATCATTTTGGGGTTTGTCTTCTCAGCTGTGTTTTAGGTTGGCACAGCTCTTGGTCTGATGATCCACCTAAGCAGGAGAACCACTAAGGAATGAGTGCGAGCCTTGGCATCAGGAACACCTAGGGACCTATCAGCTTTCAGGGCAAATTACCTAACCTCTTCTGGCTTCAGTGACCCTCATCAATAAACTGGGATTGATAATCTATGCTTCATCAGGAGGATTCAGGGAAATAATCCCCAAGCACTGCCTAGCCTCGTGTTGGTGCTCAATAGACGGTAAGTATTACTTTTATTTCTATAACTTCAAGTGTAAGACTCTGTTCATTCATTGATTTATTCACTCCTCAAGTAGTTATGTACTGCCTACCTCTCCATGCCTAGTTTCCTATCTGCAACATGAAGAGAATAAATAGTGCTTATCTAGCTGGGGGTGTGAGGAGTTAGTAAGTACAGTATACATAAAGTGCTCAGACACTGCAGGGTAAGTAAGTGCAATACATATGTTGTCTGTCATCATCACTACTGCTTATTTGTGCCAAGCACAGGGCCAGGTGGGCACTGGGAATAAAGAGGTGGGCAAAATGGACATGACCTTTGTCCTCATGGAGCTTACATGTTCTTTCTGCCTTGCTTTCTTCATGGGGAGAAAAACCAGTGCCTGCTTCACTACTGTGATAAAAGATGAATTGATAGGTCTGGCCAACAACCCAGTGTGTGGCTCAGGCCCCCGATTTGCTGGCTGCTGCTCCGGGAGTTGACATGAGGACTCATGCCCTCATTAAGTCTCTGGCCTCTTAGTTTTGCTTTGGCGTGATCCGAAGAGCCCCAAGTCAGTTGGAGAGACCCAAATCAGTTGTGGCTGAGGTGTACTCATGAAGATCAGTGTGTGGAAATGCCTGAGACCTTCAGAATCCCTTGTGGATGAGAGGGGTAGGCAGGGACCCTGTCGGGGGGAGGAAACCCTGGATTTGGAGTTAGGGACCAAGGATAAGTCCTGGTGCTGCCACTCAGTAGCTGGGTGGATTTTTTTTCAGGTCACTTTTCCTCTCTAAGCCTTGCTTTCCTTGACTGTCAAGTAGGGTAGTGATAGTAACTACCTTGTAGGGTTGTTGTGAGGAGCAGAACATAAATTTAAGGGAATTCAGACCTCCTCAAAAATCACCTCTTTTAAGATGCTTTTTGTGACCCATCCAGGAGAGTGCACTGCTCCTACCTCTGAGCTCAAAGGCATTTATTCATACAACTGCCTGTCACGCTACAAGGGCTAAGACTGGGCTCCCTGGAAACAAATTCTGAGACAGAGAAGTGCATTGCTAGGAGGCTCTCGGGAGAAGTGATTGGGAACTGAACAGGGCCAGATAGAGGAGAAGAAGCACCTGACATGGTGGGAGAAGCTGGTACACAGAGGGACAAGCTGACAGAGGTAGCAAGTGACACACAGAAGGTCTTGGATAATCCTCCAGGGAGTTCTGGGGGTGGCATGGCTTCTCAGAGCTGTTCTGAAAGAGGTAAGGGGCCACCCAGTTTAAACGGTCACTTCGCCAGGCACTGACTGGAGATGACTCCTTTCCTCTTCCCCAGGAAGGGTCATAACCTTGGGCCACATGGTTCCCTGCAGTGGCAAATAATTCTCAGTGAATGAGAGTGTTGGGAGAAGCCGGCATGATCTCCTCCAAGAGACCAGGAAGCGTTCCAGAAGCAATGGAGAAGCAAACCTGGAATTTCTGCCCACATAGGGCTTTTGGCCTATATTTGCCTATTTGGTATCCAAAGCCAGCTTGGCAGCCTTGCTTGGGCCAGAATCTTCTCATTAGCAGAGCACACAGTTGGTGCTTAATAAGAGCCTGTCAGATTTTATTATCAGTCACGCACCAGGCCCTTTTCTTGTCATCACCTGCTTGTTTAAAAGATGTAAGATCCTTCTTGGTGGACCAAACGTCCACAAGGTTATTTTTTCAGACTCAAGAGAGAAAAAGGAAGCAAGCCTGTGGAGACAGAACCTAATTAAAAGACAATGCCGCACAGCAGTTGAAGTGGAGTTTGCCCGGCACCTGGCCCACCAGAATTTTGCCAAAGAGGGCAAAAAATAGCACAGGCACCTGGTGAACTCTCCCAGGGCTCTGCATCAGGGCAGTCACGTTGAAGATTTCCTAGGAGTTGTTGCCACTGGTGAAACTCCAGCTGCAGCTCTGCACCTGCCAAGTTCTCCAGGCTCAACCGAGCTCTTGTTCACGCTCTAAGTTCTGATAGCATCAGATCGAGCCTGATTTGTGATGCGCCCACATAGACCACTTGGACAGAGAGAGATAGAGGGAAAGAGAGGGAGAGGGAGAGTCAGAGAGGGAGGGAGAGTCAGAGAGGGAGGGAGAGGGCGCTGTGGACTGATCAGGGGCAGAAGCCTGCACTCTCTTCCACTGTCCCTTGGGAAATGGGCCCCAAATACAGTATTACCTCCACTGCTAATAGTAACGAGAATGCTGTGTTTACCTGTTACTGTGCTTTAACGTGCAAAACAGTTTTATTTTCATGATTCCATCTGGTCCCCACAACAAGCCTGTGGAGGACACAGCTTCATGACTGCAAGGAATCCATTCAACCTCTCTGCACCTCCATTACCCCTCTCTAAAATGATAATAGAAACTCTTAAATTGTTAGGAGGATTGTATAATGCAATAGCCATGAAGTCCTTAAGGTTTCTTAATAAAGATTTGACATTACTGATAGAGCTTTTTCAGTCTCACTTTACAGGCAAGGAAACTGGGCTTCAGAGAGGGTGATTTTTTGACTAAAATATCTGGGAAAGGAAGAAGGAAAACACCAAGTGGCACGGCAAAGAGAACCAGGTTTTCCGGAGCTAGAGTTCCACTATGAGCAGTGTGTGTCCCATTTGAACTCGGGAACAGAGGGACTACTGACTCCTCCCAAGGGGAAAAAAATAGTCAAAGGGACAGTGTTGCCAAAGGGAAAAAACTCCAGAACATTTGCACTTTTGAAACAATTGAGGCCTTCTTACTTTTTTCTATTTGGGTCTAAATAGCAGGAATGCTATCACGGTCAGAGATAATTAGCTTGGGAGAAGATCTCCCTGAGCCTTCCACTGAAGGCTTTGGAAGACCTGAGCGGCAGAGGGGGTTTTGCGTCCAAATGGCCTTGCCCCATTTCGGTCACTTCCTCGTCAAACAGAAGTTCAGCTGTAGACAAAGGCAGGGCCCTGGTGCCGAAGACCCCCCGGTCTCCTCTGAAATGAAGGTCATTGCCATTCTCATTGTCTTCATCTCCTGCTGTAAGTAATAAGCCAGCTGGGAGGGTGCCAGGATGCCGTCTTCCTGTCTGCGTCATTGGGGTGGCCCTTCCTGAGGTGGCGGCAAGTAGGGAAGTCGCTCAGAAAGAAAGCAAGAATGGAACAGGCTCCCACCAAAGTTCTCCTGCTTCTCTCTCTGCTCTCGGATCCTAGAAATTTCTAGCAAATAGAAGGTTGCTAACTACTGGGAAGAGGACTTTAGGTATGGTTCACTGCTCCCAGCACCAGGAGGATTTGTCTTTGGATGGTAGCCAGTTACCGTTATCTAAAATCAAGTGGATCTAGCACAAAACTGCAGGCGTGGATCTGCAATGATTAATTGTTATCGGAATAATTAATTCCATAAGAAAGACATGGTTACAGTGACTAATGGGATCACTGGTCTTTCTCAGCCGGAGAGCAGATGCACACCTCTGCAACGTGAGCGAGTGCTTCCTGGGGAGACTGTTGGGGATTCTGTCGGAAAGTTTGGACTGTTGCTGCATTGGTTGTATAGGAACTTGTACCAATCCATTTTTTTCTTTTCAAATCTATTTCTCTCTTGTCTGCTGCAGCTGTGTATCAGTAACTTTTGCCTCCCTAAATAACATGTCAAAGCCAGCTTTCCATCTTTCCCTTAGTGAGTGGTGGGATTTATAGCTTTTGAAATTATGGTGCAGTGAGGGCCACTTCTGCAGCCCCCACAGTATGGCCCCTGCTTTCTCCTCCTGACCCCCTGCTTCCAGCAGCACTTCTTGACAGCAAGATGTCTAACACAGCAGTGAGACAAGGAGGTGTCCAGACTCTGTCTTCGTTGTTCTTCTCCTTCATGTATTTACTGTATTGCCATCCCCAAACTGGTACACAATTGTAATTAGAAAGTCAAATAAATGAGAATGTAGCAACAAGGGACAGCCCCTCCTCATCCTTCCAGAGTTCAATCTTTTTCTAAGCTCAAATGCAACCACTCTTAAGAATTGGGTATACGTTCTTCTAGGCCTTCGCATGCATGCATGCACGCACGCACGCATGCGCACGCACACGCATGCCTGCACGCATGCGCGCACACACATGCCCTTGTAATAGAGAAGTTAATGTGCATTCATCATTAAAAAAAACTCAGCATAGGAGTTTACAAAGTATGTTACCTGTTTCTTTACCTGTTTCTTTATCTCCCTCCTCAATCCCATCTCCCAGAGATACTGCTATTAAAGGTTGTGTCTTGTTCTTATCCTCAACCGGTGGACGTGTGGGTGGTTTCCAATGTTCTGATATCACAAATAATGCTGCAACAAACATCCTTGTACATATACTTGGAGCCACGTTTGTAAGCATTTTGTAGAAGTAAACATTGTTTGGCCCATATGAATTTGCCATTTTAAAAACCAGATGGATGGTGTCTTTCCTCTTATGTATTTTGTTTCTCCTGTGAGGTGTAGACACCTGTAATACCCACAGGGACTCGCATTTCTGGCTGTGAACTTTCCTTATTCATGTTGCATCTGATCTGAGGGGCTTTCTGCCTAGGATGGTGGTTTTCTGCTTTGAAGGTGAAGACCCTGGTGGGCAGTAGACCATTGTCCTAAGTGTCAGGGAAACTGGGTGCTCATTTTGGGCGTTACGAGTAAATTTAGCCCCATTTTCTTTCTCATGGAAGGGGCTGATAGATAACCCAGCGAGGCCAGGCCTGTGTTTCAGGGCTCTGGTGACGACGTCAGGGCAAAGCACTCTGGTGAGGGGCTGGCAAGGCAGCACCACACTCACCCCACTTCTCTGGTTCCTTGTTTTCCACTGACAGTGACAGCCCCCACCCTCAGCAGCTTCTGGCAGTTCCAGAGGATGGTCAAGCACGTCACAGGGCGGAGCGCCTTCTTCTCCTATTATGGATATGGCTGCTACTGTGGGCTTGGGGGCAAAGGAGTCCCTGTGGACGACACAGACAGGTACGTGCAGAGGCGCTAAGGCTGCCCAGCATTCGATCTGCGCTGAAGCTCGGGCCTGAAATCTAGAGCCAAGGTATTAGAGTTCTGTGTGGCAGGTAATAGAAGCCATGGAAGCCACCATGAGAAAAGACCAAATGGGAGTCACAGGGTGTGTCTTGAGGAGGCCAGGGCCAGGCCAGCTTCCTAAGCATGTGACCTCTGAAGCTGCACTGAGCTGACACTCCTCAGGGCCTCCATGTGGCTTACGCTCTGCTGTCACCTTCTTGAATTCTTAATAAGGAGCCCTACATTCTGTTTTGCTCTAGGCCCTGCACATTCTGGAGCCAGTCCTGCCCAGAGTTCTAGAAACCTTTTAATATGTACCTGGCAAATGTGCTCTTCTCTCAGCATCCTGGTTTTTAGGGTTACAGGTGCAGCATGCCTGCCCTGCCTGGCTCCCAGCCCTAATTCCACATTCGAGGAGAGAGAATCCAAGTGGCCCAGTTTAGAAGCATTGTCCATCTGGGTGAGGACATGCGGCACAAACCTGGCTTCTGGGCTTATTCCTAAGGACGGGGCTGGGGAGTGTGGGTACCTACCAAAAGTGGATGTGGGGAATAAATGGGATACTTCGTGTGTCATTTCATTTGAAGAAACAAGAAGGCAAAATGTTCTTTCTATATTTGACCTAGCAGGGATAAGTGTCCCCATGAGGCTTAAAATAGCACTACTAGAGTTTGAATTCCTTGGGTTTGTTTGAGGAACCATGGAATGTTCCAGCTGCAAAGACCCCAGAGCCGTGGCAAGACAGACACACTTGTGAAATGCCCATCATGTGCCAAGCACTGGGGTAGGTCATCACACAGGGGCCTAACTTAATCCTCCCAGTGAACACGGGAGGCAGTGTCACCACCCCATGTTGCAGGTGAGGACAGTGAGGGTCTCAGACCAAGAGTCACTAAAGTAGCCATGCCCGTGCATACAGCTCCTAAAGGGCAAAGCCAGGATTTGAATGAGAATCTCAGCGTCTACAGCCTTTCCTTCATGTTCTGTATCTCTCCTGTCTGCATTCAAAGGTGGATTGGAAACTTACAACTAACAGCCAAAGCTGTTAAAGGGCCAAGAGCTGGCTTGGAGGTTGGAATAGTAAGAGAGGGAGACACAGGCATTTTTTCTTGGCAATTTTGGGTGTTGGAATCCACTCCTGAGTTTCTGTCTATCTGCCCGTAGCTGAGGAAACAGGGTGAGCTGCTGCCTAGCCTCCAGCCAGATGTGACAGCAAAGCTTGCATTTGTGTTTGCTGACAGCTGTCTCCTTAGAGACCATCACAGTGCCTGACCTGTAGAAGGTGCTCAGTTAAAATGGTTCAGGGGATGAATGCGTCCCAGGGACCTAGACCTGAGACCCAGGTCTGTCATTTTCCAGCTGGGTAATTTTGGGAAATTGACCTCCCTGAATCTCTTTTCCTCTCTTACAAAACCAGAGCAATAATTTACTTTATAGGATGGCAGCATAGTACAGAAAGCAGTAGATATTAGAGAGGCTCAGTCAATGTTATTGTTGTTTTTATTATTCTAAATATTACACTCAGCTCTTTGTACCCACACACTCTGCATCTTGGATTCCACCAACCTCAGATGAGAAATATTTTTTTAGAAAAACAGCATCTGTCTTGATTGTGTACAAGCTTTTATTTTTCTTGGCACCATTCCCTAGAGAATAGATCATAACAGGTATTTACGTTATATTAGGTATGATACACTGACAGATGATTTGAAGTACAGGGGAGAATGGTGTAGGTTACATGCAAATGCCAAGGGACCTGAGCAAAGGTGTTGCTATCCATGGGGGTCTTGGAGCCCATCCATCACCCTTTGGTGTAGGGGGAGGTGATATTGGTAATCACCTCCCTACCTGCAATGCCTTCTTTCTCAGCGGGGAGGCAGGTGAGTTCTTTCCGGTTCCTACCTAAGTGCTTCCAGGGATTCCCCAGCCCCACCCCACCCCCACAGACCCTCACGTCCCTCTCCTCTGGCCTCCAGATGCTGCCGGGCCCATGACTGCTGCTACAAGAAGCTGAAGGAGCTTGGCTGCCAGCCCTTGCTGAACAGCTATCACTTTCACATCCTCAACGGAACGGTGGTCTGTGAGTAGCTTTCTCTGCAGCAAAATGTCTTTGCATGTTGGTCTTTCCTTAATATCCTCATTGATCCAGCCATCTCTTAGGAAATAGGACTTTCTCAAGTGCTTTGAGATGAAAAAGGGCAATTCTGAGAACCAGGGCTTCTTGGAAAGTCCTTGCTCTGTCTTGCCCTGGTCTCTCTTACCTGCAAGGGTATCTCTAGCACCTCTGGGAGTGCAGAGCCTGGCATATAGTACCCGCTCAATAAAGTGTTGTTGCCTGGAGATTACATAGACTTTGCAGCTTCCTCTGGCAACTGTTGCTGTTTAGAACATTCTTCCTTATTTCCGTCACATGCTAACAAAGCAGCTCAGCTGTCTTTCAGTTGAATAAATATTTGTTAAGGGGGACTGCATGCCATGAATCATGACCAGTGCCTTCGGGGACACAAAAGTAACGAGGAGGGAAACACGAAGGGAGCTTGCATATTATTGAGGTCCCCCAAGGAGGTGGAAAAGGGCCAGTGTGGGCAAGTACGCTAAGCGTATATGCAGGGGGTGTGGCCCTGGGGTCCTGGAGCAGGTCCCGGGATTGGTGGGTATCGGTACATGCAGGGCAAGTGTGGTCTAAAGAGAAAACATGTTTGAAGACTTGGGGTCATGGCCTTCTGCGAGTCCCGTCTACTCTGGTGGAGCGGGGTGGTTTTGCGGGAGGCTCACCGTCTGCCTGGCCTTGCGGAGTTGCCTGAGTCTCTTTCCTGCCGGGTGTGTGGCTCAGAGTGGCGAGTGTTTCTGGAAGCTCATGTCTCCTCGGAGCCCAGGGAAGTACCGGCTCACCACCACTCAGGCCCCAGGTGGGAGATGCATTCACCCAGCCCATCTACTGGATGTTCAGGCTCAGACCCAGGTCTCCCCAGTGGCCCCACCCGGGATTCCAGTGCAGGACACCCCAAGGCCCTGAGATTGGACTGTGGGGTCTCCCCAGTGTTAAGTGAGAGTCCTGAAACATGCTGAGCTCAAGACTCCTGTAGTGGAAGACCAGGCTCAGCTCAGACAGCCGCTCCCCTGCACAGCCGCTGCTCCCGAGTAGACTCTTGACTGGGAGCCTCCTTCCACGTGTGAGGTCAGGGAGACATCCTGAGTGGGAGCTCTGTGTCCACGATCATCCTCAAGCCTAAAGTGAAATGTCCCTTCTGTGACATCCCCAAGGCCACATCCAGGGGAAGGGAAGGCATCAGGACCTGGTGGGTGGGGCAGGGCGAAGGAGGCTGGAGAAGCCACCCTCACAGTACTGTTTGCCTCAGCACAAACATGACGCCTCCCTAGGCCAGGGGCGAGTTTCTGATGTTGCCCCTCTGCCCCAAATGGGGGAGCGGTGGTGCCGGGTGCACGGCTACTGGCTGGTGAGGAAGGAGTGCAGAGCAAAGATGACTTTTCCAACCTAGCTCGAAGTCTTGCTTTTGCCTGGCTTCCTCTTGCCTTTCTTCATCTTGGTCCAAACATGTGTCACATCAAGTGTCATCTAGCGGTGATTGAGAAGGCCTCACTTTGGAGAACGATGCTTAAGAGCGCCCCCCTCGGGTGACCCCATGAAGCGCATCTTCCCCGGTAAGAAGAGGAAGATGGACTCTGAGCACGTGGAGAGAACCTTTCTCTACTGAGGGTGGGCCAACCTTCCACCCTGGCTCCTGCAGGCTGGCTGCTAGGAGCACGAAGGGCTGGCCTGGGCGCTGTGCACTCCCAGCCTGGGACCCCGGGAAACGGATGACGTGCAGGATAGTGACTAGGGTACGAGCTGGTGTCCCAGCAGGGGACACGTGCGTCCCTTGATGACCTGCACACGCTGGGTGGTGTTAGGAAGCACACAGACAGGGGCTGGGAGTGGCCTGGCCAGCTAGTGGCCTAGCCTGCGCTTTCCAGGGCACTGTCATGGGAGGAGGCTTCTGCCACAGCACCAGGGTGACAGCATCTCCTTCTGGTGAGAGCCAGGTGGCCAGGGCTCTGCTGCAGGCTCCGCGGCTGCTGTGGCCTGACAGCCAATCCCACCCATTCGCCAGCTCAGCGCTGACTGAATGCCCACTGGGTGCCTGTCCAGTGTGAGCCTGGTGCCAGGGGCCGGCCTAACCCCACTCTCCTGCCTTTCGTGGTCTTAGGGAAACTCCGGGTGGAAAGCACCCTTGGAGACCATCCAGACCTTCCTTCATTACAGCCTAGAAATGGGAAGAGTTTGACCCGAGTCACAAGCGGGAGTCACATGGGTCTGGAGCCTTCCCAGTGCCCCAGAACTTCCTGCCTGGCCCGATTGTGATTGTCTAGGCCTTGGTTTTCTCTTGCACCACGAAACAGGTGCAAGAACAGCACGGCAGCTTCTGTGCATCTGTGATAGCTGCTTTGCACACAGCACCTTGAACACCCATGAGAGACCTCTGAGGTGGGCCTCATTCTCCCCATTATCGAGGAGGGCACTGAGGCCCAGAGAGGTGAAATGAGGTAATCAAGGTCACACAGCGAGGGAAAGAAGAGATGGGATTCAGACCCAGGTGCCCTTGCCTTCTGCTGTGCTGTGCTGAGGACGGGGACAGGCACCTGTATGATGCTAAGGCTTCTCACAGATGGAAGCCCCAGGGTCGGCAGCAAACTGTCCTGCAGTCAGAATGCTCTATCCTGGCCCAGGGAGGGGAAGGAGGGGCAGACGGAGTTCGGTCTTCTCTAATGCCTCAGATCTTTCCTTTCCTGCTAAGAGGCCTCCGAGTCAGGCAGAGCTGGGCCTCACCCTAGCTCTGACTCTCCCAGCCAAGCCTTAGTCTCCCCATCTGTAAAATGGGATCAATCACGGGCACCTCACAAGATTGCTTGGAGATTGACCACAGTGACCTGCTAAAGGGTCTGGCCAGTAGCAGATGCTCTGCTAGTGCTTTCAGTTTGGACATGGAGAGTTCTTTCTTTGTCCAGGTTTTATTTCTTCTTTCTTTCATGGGAAAGCATTAGGTTTCTGTTTGGTTTGTTTTCTTTTTACTGTGCAGAGGTTTCTGTGCACTCCCCTCCCCTCGGGCTAAGGTCACTAAAGTAACCCTTACAGGATAAAACCTCTTCTGTCGCCACTGGTGACACCTCAGTCCAAAGAGCTGCCCCTGTAAGGGTTAAGCGCCTCCCTGAATTCTGAAATCCTGCACCCAAGTCTGGTCCCAGGTTACCTAGCAACAGGCAGCTGGTAGGGAGTGAGGAGAAGGTGAGCAGGGGAGGGGAAGGAAGAAAACAGTTTGGTCTGTCCATGTCTCAAAATGCCACTGGAAGATTAGCGCAGGGAAAGGTCTTTAACCAAGCCCAGGGGCCAACTGGCTTGGGGAGGGGACAGCCGCCCTCCAGAGGCCTGCAAGGTAGTTATTCCTGTTTTCAGTGGGCTTACATAAACATTTGGCATTTGCAAGGACTTTAAGATCACCCAGCAGTGACAGCTCCCCTTCTGCTCACATATGCATACACGTGTTATGTGGGGAGGAGGCAAGGCGTGGGAGGCAGAGACCAGTTCCAGCCACCTGCACGCCACTGTCACCTCCATCTCCAGGCCTAATGCCTCCCTCTGCCAGTGGGGGAAGGTAGAAGTGGTAACTGCTGGAAGTTTAGTTAGCAAAGACCTTTCCAACTTACTGTAAATGATTCTGCACAGCCTTCACTCACTGTCACACTGCTCTCTCCCTCTCCTAGCACTTGTCTCCCTCTGAAATGGTCTTATTCCTTTTTGTTTACTTATGCATTGACCCCTCCACTCCCCACCAGATTAGAATGTAAGCTCTAAGAGCAGAGGCAAGCCTATCTGGTTTGAGGTGCACTCGTGCTCACAGAGCCCTCAGAGAATGATGCCCTTGGACCTGGAAGGGTACTTGCTCGTACCTGTACCCCAGTGTCTTGCTGAACCAAGCACATGCTAGGAACTTGGCTCCTATTTGTTTAATGAGTGAGTGAATGCAAAGAACCCATACTGCGGGTATCTTTATCCTAATTGAAAGCTGAGGAAATGCACAGAGAAGGAGAAGTGACTTGCCTGAGGACTGAAGCTGCAGATCTGGAGCTAGAACCTGGCTTCCTGGTGTCTGGGGTAGTCTCCTTTCATTGGTCCCTCGGCCAAGTAAGCTCACTCAGTTATGGCCATCAGCAGTTGGTCATGGGGAATGAACCAGTGTTAGGGTCTAGAGATCAGCAATGGGAAAGACACAATCCCTGGCTTGAAGGTGCTTGTGTTGAAGGGAGGGCAAGAGATGGGTTCAGATAAGGACAAGCTGCTCAAGCAAGGTGACAGACTAGGGAATGGCAAGGGCTGGGCAGGGAAGGGTGCTGATTTTAGGCAGCTGAGGAAAAGCCTCTTGAAGGCGGGCTGGAGACCTCGGGGCCAGTGAGGCAGGAGCACAGATCCTTGGGGAGAGCGGCACCCAGCTTGGGTGAGATGCTCACCCACTGCTTCAGTGGCAGGGGAGAAATGTGTGTCCAGAAGGGGCATGAGATGCTCTGACTTTGCTCCAGAAAGATCACTCCCACTGCTGTGCAGAGCTGGAGGTGGGACAGAATGGAGGAAAGAGAAGGTCCTGTTAGGAGGCTATGCTTCAAGCACTGGGGAGGAGTAATTGTAGCTTGAACCAAGGCAGTGACAGAAAGAACAAGGGAAGTGTTAGGTGCTGGGTGTGCTTTGGTGGCAGAGTTACCAGGGTCAGAGGTGTGAGGGACAAAGAGGCCGACTTGGGGCTCTTGACCTGAGCTGTTACAGTGGTGCCATCTACCAAGCTTCCGAAGGTGGGGAAGAGCAGATGGGGAGCTTGGTCTCCAGAGCAACAGTGTGAAGCAGTGGTGGGACCTTTAAGAGGCGGGGCCTGGAGGGAGGTCACGAGGTCATGAGGATGCTGCCCTTGGAAGAAGAGACTGTTACAGTAATGGGGATCCTGTGCTCATTAGTTCCCACAAGAGGGCTGTTATTATTAAACAGCAAACCTGGTCCCTCCCGTCTCTCTGGCAGGCCTCACTCCCCTGTGGGAGGGGTGGTGCTCCTGGTGCTGCTCTGAGATGGACCAGGTTGTGCTTGGGGACCAGCTCAGAGCAGAGTCCCTGGGGAGCTGGGGCTGGATGGATACGGATGGATTCTCACAGATGGAGAAGTGGGAGTGGGAGTGCGAGTGGGAGGGCAAAGGTGGTCCAGGTGTCAGGATGAGGAGGAGCAGCACGAAAGTTCCTGGCACATTCTTGAAAGCGAGTGGCAAGGGGCAGCTGAGGTGGGGGGGGGGTGTCATTGGCCTCAAGAAGTTGCGTTTCCAGACAGGAGTGGGAGGACAGCTCCAGCAGGAGTGTGGGCCTCTGAGAGGGAGGATGGCAGATAAACAGGTGCAGCCAGTGCTGGTCCAGGGGAGGGGCACCGCCTCTGCCCACGGGTGGAGCCAGGACGCCTTGCAGTGCCAGCGGGGCCAGGCCTCTGCTGAGCGCTCTGCAGCTGGGAACAGCCCCGTGCGAGCCTGCCCCCACCGCAGGGAGGAGGTGGTTGTTCATCTTTGACGCTGCCGTTTCCACCACCACCTTGGAGATGCAGGCAGCAATGATGACTTGCCGTAGGTCACTGACCAGGGCATCCGGGAGCCTCCTTCTACCTCTTAACTGTACAAAGAGAGCGGAACTGGGGTAGAGCTATGCAGAGTGGGAAACTGCCTCAGACCATCCCTGTGCGCATGTACGCGCATGCGCATGGGCACGCACACCAGTGTCCGAGGGCTCAGACAGCTCAATAAAAAAGCCCTCATCTAGAGGCTGCTCAGGCATAGCGCACACGCTGCACCCCAGAGGCCCATAGAGGTCTGTTCCCTTATTCAGCAGCTGTTTCTTGAGCAGCTCTGACTTACCAGTTTCTGTGCTGGATGTTGGGGACGTTGTGGGGAATCAAAGCCTCAGCCTCATGGAGCTTGTGCTGCGGAGGAAAGGCAGGCGTAGCAAGTCGACAAATAAATGGCCTGTGGGAAATATGTGTGTAGAGGGGCGCCTTAGCCCACCGCTGCGCATAGCGATGAGCAAGGCGTATGCTGGGAGGACGGCTTGGGGAAAGCTTCCGACCAAGTGGCTGGGGACAGCCTTCCCGACAAGGTGGAGTTTGACCAAGACCCCGAGTGTGGCATGAATCCTAGCACTGGAAGGTCCTGAGGAGGAGTTTTAGAACAGGAAGATAACATGGGGAAGCAACACAGAGCCAGACATACGCCCTAACATTGGCCAGTGTGCCTGGAGCAGAGTGAAGCTGAGAGGGTGGAGGTCCCATGCTGAAGGGATGGCTGGGGAGGGTCAAGTCGTAGGAAGTGCGCTCTGTAGGCCACCACAAGGATTGGGGACGTCTTCCCTGAACAGTGGGAAACCACGGGGGGCGGTAAGCCGAGAGGGCACATCGTTCAGGCCACGCCGTAATCCTGCGCCTGCGTATTTCTTTCCTTGAAGGAGGAAGGGCCTGTGATGACAGGGATTTGGGTATCGGTCAGGACAATAGAGAAGAGAAAGCAGAGTGTGAATATCCACAGGAGTAGCCACAGCCAGATGTGGAAAGTGAAACGAGGGCAGGAAATGAGGCCGCTCATTAGTTTTCTGGCTGAAGTCAGAGTCACCGCCTTTACTGGGTGTGGAGGAAGGACAGGCTCGGCTGGTGTCGGGGTCCCTGGTGTATCTACATGGGATGGGGAGCAGGCGGCTGGAAACGAGACGAGCTCTGGCCCCTTGACCCGTGTGATGCTCAGGTGCAATGATTCGACCCCTCCATGCAGCGCGCCCTCCTCACCCCCTCTGGCTTCCTTCTGGGCTTCTCTTCTCTGCAGCTCTGTGGATGCCCGGATGTGCTGAGGAAGGGGCTGAGGATGAAGGAAAAGGACTCTAGGCTTCTTCCCCTTCTGTACTCAGCCCTTGGCCCCTGTAGCTTCCTGGTCCCCCCAACCTTACAGCTGAGCCCTAGGATGAGAAGGTGCCCTGGGTGACCCTGTGTGTCTCTGCAGGTGGATGCACCCTGAGTCCCAGTGGCAGTTGCCTCTGCGGGATGAAGGCCTGCGAGTGTGACAAGCAGTCCGTGTACTGCTTCAAAGAGAGCCTGCCCACCTATGCGAAAAACTTCAAGCAGTTCTTCTCCAGCCGGCCGCAGTGCAGCGGACATAAGCGCCAGTGCTAGGGAGGCCACCGCCCTTCGTTGCTGTTGCCCCCCTTTCCAAGAAGCCAACTCCTGCCAACCTCGACAGGCTGCCGTTCTTGTAGCTTCCCCTGCACCATCGCCGCCTCCTCAGGTGCGCCCCTCACTCCACACCTGAGGCCTGGAGCTCAGAAACGGAGAAGCACTCATGCTCTTGGGAGGGAGACAGAACACAGATACCTGCTAAATGATGGATACTTCCAGACAGTAGTAAGTGCTATGAAGTAATAGAATAAAGCCACAGGGTAGAGAGACGCCCCAACCATGCTTGCAGGAAGGCTCTAGGATGGGAGAAGCCCCTGGATCTATCCCAAATTCTCCCTCCACTCCCCCCACCCCAAATCAGGGTTTGGGGCAGACTTGGGAGCCCGACCCATGACACAAATCTGGCTAGGAACAAAGGAGAGACCCTGAGAGGCACCCTCGGAGTCTGGCTCTTATTCGTTCAAAGTCTGCTCTTTAAACTCACAGGTAGGAAAAAAATTGATGCTGATTTCATGTCTCAGGAGCCGGAGCACATGAGGAAGGAAGCCCCCACCACTGCCGTGTGGGTGTCCTGGCCGAGGGCGCTGTGCTCCTTGCTGAATTCATCCCTTGATGAGTTCAGAGCCCACTGTGCTGTTGCGGGGGGGAGTCTGGGTGGAGCTGGGACGCTGGGTTGTGACGTGGAAGGGTGGGTTCTCATTCTGGGCCTCTCCCTCCTCCTTCTGCTTCCTGGCTGCCATGGGCTGTTGGATACCTCTGCCCCACTGAGCCCTTCCACATGCGTGTCTGCCGACTTTGGAGTCAAATAAACCTCTCTTCCTTTTAAGTTGTGGGTGTCGGGCATTTTGTCCCAGCCACGAGAAAGGGACTAATACATGGTCTGATCTGGGTGGATTCCACTGTTTATAGTGCCCATCTGGAACGGGAAATTGCAAACCTGGCAAAGTTGTTCTTGCCTCTCAGCACACTTGTCTTTCACACTGTTAAAGCTCAGCTTTTCCTATCAAGGGGTAGAGCCTCCTGCCCCACTCCTTCAGTCTGAATTGGCTGTGTGACTCGCTCTACTCAGTAGACTGTAGTGGGAGTGGTGGCCCGGTTCCAGGCCTCAGCCTGGGAGGTGCAGAACACTCCTCTAGGCTACCTGCCTCCACCTAGAGGAAGCCTGGGTCTGCCTTTGGATGAACAGAGCCCAGCTGGACCAGGCTCACAGGCTCAGCTGTCTCAGCTAAGACTTCGGCCAAGCCCAGCAAAGCCAATTCATGACGGGCCACAAACACCTGGGAAAGCCTAGTGGAGACAAAGGCAACTGACCGCCCTGCTGAGCCCCGGTGAACCGCCAGCCCACAGCTACTTAAAGGCTGTTTGAAGCTGTGATGTTTTAGTGTGGCTTCTTACGTGGTAGTAACTAGTGGATGTCACTGGTCTCAGATCACAGAGACGCCTGGGTTCTCAGCACTATACCAGACATAGAGGACACTGAAACGTGTGACACGGCCCCCGCTCCTTCCCTGGTAGGCATGGGAGGAAGGCTCTGACTTGTATAATGATGAAGAACACATAGACTAATTCAGTGGGTCACCCAGCACACATTTACTGAGCATTTGCTATGTGCTAGAAACAGCGCTAGGCAGCAAGGATTCAGAGACTTTAAGAAAACACAAAGACAGGTCTAAAAATGCTAGGGACCCAGCACTCAGGAGGCTGAGGCAGGAGGATTGCTGCAAGTTCGAGGTCAGCCTGGGCTACAAAGTGAGTTCAAGGCTAGCCTGAACTGCATAGTGAAACCTTGTCTCAAAAAGACAAAATAAAATAAAATAAAAAAATCCTAGGGAGAACATGCGGAGGGCCAGAGTAGTTTTTAGAGTCCTGACATAAAATCTGGGTTGAGAAAGCAAGGGATGTGAAGACAGAAAGGGAAGCAGGAGCGGGGCAGTCACAGGAGGTCTGGGAACCAGGGCCCGTGGCTTCTGCCTGGCTCAGCCCGCGGCTGCGTGGTTAACTGGTCTAACTTCCTTCCTCCACCTGCGTGTGTTCCGAATACAGTGCAGCAGGGATGCTGGAGGCCTCTGAGCACAGGGAGGGTCTGAATGGTCTGGGGAAAAGACGGGCATGGAGCCAGGGTGACTAGACTGGACCAGCCGCATCTCCCCGCCTGAAGGGTCTTGATCACACCAGGACCAGCCCTGTTCTGTGAAGGTATGTGACTGACAGCCATGCTAGAGGAAGAGGGGCCAGGGTGAGGCTCAGTGTGGGGCATGGGGGATCCAGTGTAAGATCCCGGATGTCCCTCCCATTCTCAGGGTCTGGCTCTGGGTCTGGTAATGAATGGGATGAGTCTTGGTGGTATATAAGCCTTGTTGTAGCATGCCCTGACTCTGAGGAGTGAGCTGGGGCTGTCCAGGGATGACCTTATTGCTTCCTGGGAAATCTCACTGTCTTTAGAGGGAAAGGATTCATATGTATTGAGGATCAACTCCAATCCAGGCCCTGCGCTAGGGGTAGAGAGGTAAAGGTACATCATACTCCAAGGGGTGTGAGATGGGGCGGAGGGTGATGTAACACCACACACAGATGGTTGCAGAGCATGCTGGGAAATTATAGAATTGGGGTCCATGTGGGAGCCATGACCACTGTTCAGGAGGATGAGGAAGACCTATTCAAGGAATGCTGAAGGAAGTAGCAGAGTGGGGGCCGTGAAAGGCCGCAGAGGACAGTATTGTTTAGAGCCAGCAAAAAAGATGAGGGGCAGGGTCTGGACAAGAAGAGCTTGTGGTTGCTCAGAAACCTGGCTGGGACCCTGGGACCAGCGGCGTCTGCAGTGTTCTGAGCTTCCCAGCACTCTCCCCATGTATGAGGACCTTGGCCAGCCCAACCCCCTGGAGCTTCAGGGTCCTCGGGAGTGAGATGGGCGGCTGAGATCGCAGCACTGAATCCACACGGAGGACGCACCTGGTGGGAGCCAGGACTCGTGCCGTTAACTCCCTTAACTGCACGTACTGTGTTAGAGGCCTTAGAGCCAGATATGCTTTCACCACCACTCTCTTTAGAGTCTATCCAGCTGTGCTTGTGAGGTCTGGATGCAGCTGCCCGGTGTGAGGGTGCTGGAGTGCTGGTCTGTCTGTGGAGGGCTTGTTTGGGGTTCTGCATCTCACCCAGGAGTGGCTGCGACTCTCTGTGTCTAACTCTGTGTGTGGGAGCTGAGGGAGGCAGACCTGCTCTTCCCCATTCCTTTGCCAGGGTATCTGAAAAGTCAGGGAGGGCACAGCGGCTGCTGGGGTGTGTGGCCATGTGAACACAGCCTCCAGCCTGCAGGGGGACAGCCAGCTGGTGAGGAGTGGGTGACTGGGTCTGAGTCACTGACTGTATAGATTGGTGGCTCAGGCCACGCGCCAAACATTCTTGAGATCATTTCAGGGGGTGTGACCCCCTGAAAGAGAGGCTAGGGGCATGGGGGCATCCAGATGTGTTCTCCAAGCCTCGGTGTTGGAGGAGACAGATGCCAGGTACCACATGCTCACCTTGTCCCGGGCACATGGAACACCCGAACACCATTCCCCAGACAGGTACCATTAAAATCCCCAACCCACTGAGACTTGGCGTGGTACAGGTCTTGCCCAAGGCCACACAGCTAGCACACTGCATTTGGACCTAGTGGCATCCAACTGTCCCTCTGGGCTCCTCTCTGTAGGTCTGCCTCAGAAGAAACACAAAACAGGAGAGACCCGGGAGAGGAAGAGCTAGGAGGCTGTCCCCAGGTTCACTGCAGGAAGGACCCTAGCTTCTGGTTCTGGCTGGTGCTGGGGGCGGACAGGGCTGGTGCAGCTGCCATGGAAACGCTGGAGAGAAGGACCGATCTCATGTGAAGGCAGCTGTGGTGAGAAGGATCTCACCTAAGCTTCCTTGTCTCTCTGGGCCTCAGTTTCCTCAGGGCAGTGAACGCTGATATTTGCACGCCCCTCCCTCTTCTCACGGTGCTTTCTGGACCATTGTCACATTGACCATTAGAGGGATCCCAGGCATCATTCAGGCCCATTTCAATGATGACAATGGTGAGCCAGTGAGGACTGGGGCTTTGTCACAGGTGGCCGCCTCGTGTGTGTGTGTGTGTGTGTGTGTGTGTGTGTGTGTGTGTGTGGTGGGCTGGAAGGCAAACCACACCTTCTGATTCTGAATCCCCTGCTTCCCACGTTCTTCCTTGGGGGCGGGGCTGGGGGGGGAGGATGTCAAACCAGAAGATTTCTAAGGTTAAGGCTCAGGAGCTGGAGTTAAATCCTGCACGACCTTGAGAAATTGACTTAGCGTCTCTGGGCCTCAGTGTCATTTTATAAACAAAGCTATGAACAGCCCCCACTTCAGAGAGCTGCTGGGAGCATGGCGTGAGACCACACACACACAGCTCTGAGCACAGCGCTTGGCACATGGTACGTGCCCCATTCATCCTGCTTCTGTTTTTCCCCTGGCCCTGATATCCTGGGGTCCTGGACCCTGGCGCAGGCAGGATGTACCTCAGCACCACATATCATCCATTTCTCCTTCGCTTTCCCTATCACTGTGTATCTTTCTGTATCGATCTAGCTTGCCGTACACTCCTGCCTCCCAGGGCTGGAAGCCTTGGTGTTTTTCTCCAGAACGTCAGTCATCATAGTTGGTGGCACGAGCTGCTTGTTAGAAGGAAGGGCACAACTGGGGAAGCTGAGGAGGAAAAGGCTGCCCCTCCACAGTCTTCATCAAGCCTTGGCAGAGAAAGTGATGGCTTTGGGGCCCAGTTGAGGCTGGGGTCAGGTAGGGTGCAGGGGCCCGGCTGTGGTTTTAGGGGCAATAAATACCCTCAGAACCTTGCTTCCTCTGTTCTTCCTCCTCTTCCTCCTTCTCCTCTTCCTCCTTCTCTCCTCCCCCCCTCCTCTCCCTGCCCCTCCTCCCCCTTCTCCCCCTGACCCTCCCTCCCTCCTTCTCGCCCTCCCCCTCTCCTCCTCCCCACATGTTGGGAGCTAAGCTTCTGGCTAAGCTACAGCTTTGGTTCTGCCAGGTTTCTGTTTTGGGGAAAAGGTCACAGGCAATGGACTTCTTCCCACAGCTCCTCCTACCTCCTCCTCTCAGCCAGCCTGACCCTGAGGACCTGGCTGCCCCCCCCCCCACGAGCCGAGAGCATGTCTCATTTCTGAGTTTCTGCCCTCCATGCCAGGCCCTGTGCCATGGTGTTCTCATCCCTGACCGCATTCAATGCCCAAACCTCTCGTATGCAGCTCAGTATTCACCACACTGTGCAAAAGGTGGGACGTGGAGGCTCAGAGGGTGAAGTGCGTTGCCCAAGGCCACACAGCCCGTGAGTGGCTGAGCTGGGAGTGCCACCCCCTTTGCTCGGTACTTCAAGGGCTGGTGGTGGTAATAATTAGATGGTAGGGGTGACCCTAATGATTTCCTTGTTTCTGCGGGGCGTTGTCTGCCTGGGGCAGGGTCTCTTCTGAGCAGAGGGTGGGAGGTGTAGAGTAGCACTGGTGGTGACCTCTGATGTCCACTAGGTGTCGCCCAAATTCTAGAGAAGAGTTGGTCCTAAAAAGGAGGGTCCCAAAGCTACCAGGAGGGGGAAAAGGAAGAGGTGAGTCTCTATGAAGCAGGGAAGAGGGACGGACCTAGTCTGGGAAGAGTGGCCGCCCGCGCCTTTATCCTCAGCGTGGAAAACCTCACCAACTTGGAAAGAATGACCAGAAGTTCTAGGAAGGAGAGACCCCCTCTCAGCCCAGGAGCCTCCCTAAAAAATGGGACCCCTGCTTCTCCCCACACCCTCAAGGAGACCCCAGGTACCAGCTCCACCCTGATAGCCTCTGGGGCACCCTGGGGACTGCCACCTGGGTTCGGGACGTTGGTCTGTGCTCTTCACATCACGTGGCACCCACGGAAAGGTGAGGAGTCCACCAGGCCACCTCCCCTCCCAGCCCACTCTGCTACTCAGCTCACGAAGCCTTTTCCTCCCCGATGCTGTGCTGCCTGTAACCCTTCAGGTCAGAGGTGTGGTCCCATTTCATGGATGGGACAGTGGATAAAAGCTGCAGAGAGAAAGAAGGCTGGCTGCTATCCAGGGCCTCAGTCACTCTTTCTTGTGGCCCAGCTGCCTGTCATCACCAGGGAGGCACAAGGAGTAGTGGTTAAAAGTCAGACCCTTGGAATTCAGAGCCCGGCTGAAAGCCTGCAGGACACTGGGCAGGTTGCTTTCCCTCCCTGAGCCTTAGCTGTGCAGCATAAAAGGGTGCAGAGAGCACTGTGAGGCTGGCACCTGGAAAGCCCGCAGCCCGGGCTTGTTCTCACTGTCCCACGGTGGGACCACACGCCCGCTGCCCTTGGCCTTGGCAGCCCTGTCCAGCCTCCCTGGAGGCTGTGCCTCTTTCTTCTGGAGCAGGGCTGATTTACCCCTAGGCAGGGGACGAGTCAGGCCAGATGTTCCAGCTGTGGTGTGACAGGGAACCTGCCTTCCCCAGGGCTGCTGACCCTGCAGTGATCCCTATGCCCACTGGGTCCTGGCCAAGGAGGACCCGGCAGAGTGATCTGAGGCAGAAGGCTTTTATTCGTTTGAGGAGGGGGTGCTGAGTCCAGTGGACATTCTCGGGGGCTGCAGCATCTGGGAGAGTCTAGGGTGAGAAAGGCGGTAGAGGGACCCCCCATACCTGCAGAGCCTCCTCCCCTTGTGCATGTATGGACCTTCAGAGAGGAAACTGTGTGTGGGTGGACAGCCCACAGGCCAGGGGCCAAGTCCCTGCAGGAGGCTCGAGTGTCCTGTCCATCCCAGCGCCACCCTGGCTTGGTGGGGCTGGGACTTGGTCAGGGGCTTGGCCAGCTGAGGAGGGAGGAGGAGGAGGCTTGCTGGGCAGACTCCTGACAGGGCAGACGAGGAAGCTCCCATGACTGAGCAGGTGAGGTCACACCACAGCCAGAAGAAGGAGGGCCCTGGAAGGGCCCCTCCTAGTCACAGCGAGCCGTCAGTCCCAGGGCTGCTGTTCTAGAAGCTTCTGTGTGGCTTGGTAAGGCTTCTGGCCTGTTCCGCCCTCTTCTTGGCAGGTGTCCCTTTCTGCTTCCCCCTCCGTCTGGGCTTGGCTCTCTTCCCCAGTGACAGCAGCCCGTGGGACACTGCCTGAGCTGACCAGGAAGGTGGCTCTTGTCAGGTCCAGGCGGCGGGTGGCTTCTGGGGCTCCTTGGGATTGACACAGATGGAGGCAGAAGGCAGGGTTGCTGTGTGGAGTCCCTGACCCCACATGGAAGGCGAGGCCAGCCAGGGACAGAGACCTGGAGAAAGAGTGCTGGGAACAGGGGGCGGGCGGGCTGTGGAGCCAGGTCCCTGCCTCTGCGGCACCCCAGGTGCCTCCGTCCTGCCGCCGTGCCTTCTCCTGCCCGCTCCCCTCTTCACCACACCCCACCTCCTACTGCCTTCTGCAAAGGTCCTCCAGCCTCCTGCCTTGACCCTTTCCCTTCTACCTTTGTGTCCCTCTTCACTGAGTAGGTCTCACCCTTGGCCTCTTCTTGTGAACGGGATTTGTGACACCTGGCTTCTCCCTGCACTGGGACAAAGGGTCAGTGTCCCGTGTCCCCGTCTGGCTGCTTCAGCACAGACAGGAGGGCTGGCCCTGCCACTCTGAGCCGGAGGGTGCTCAGGGTGCTCCTCAGAGCCGTGCGTGGGCAGGGCGGGCTGCATCTCTGTGTGCAGGGGTCAGAGGTCAGGGAGAAGAGCTGTGCTTATTGGGGTGTATCCCCTACACCCCACCCTAGCTCTTGTGCACTCAGGCCAGTGTCACCTGCTCAGAGGCTCTCAGACTTCAGAGCTGGGACATCCTTTTGGTGTCTGGGCTGGGACTCCTGTGCCACCTCCATGCGTGTGGGAGAGGGGGCACTTGTGGGCTCTGTTAATGGAGCTCTAAAGTGCCACAAGCCCCTGAGGCACAGATGAACCATCCTGAGCCTGGTGGCCTAAACAAGCTCGGTCTCACAGGCTCTGGAGTCAGGCTGGGACCGGCAGCAGAGTCCCACACTTCTTTCTCGGGTCTTGCCTTCCAGACTCCAGAGAGACCCCAATAAGCCATGTGCTCCCTACCAAGGCCAGAGCCAGCAGTAGGAGGAAGCCCCCACTCCAGAGCTGAGCTGGAAGAGCTGGTGGGGTCTGTGTAGGGCTCTGGGGAGGGGGCAGTGGGGCCCCACTGGGCTCAGATCTGGCCCACCTCCCTATGCTCTACCTGGCTGGGCCCCGGGCCAGACCTTCCTCCCTCTCAGACCTGGCTCTCAGACCTCAGAGGTGCTGGGGCAGGGCGGGGGCTGCTGAGGAGCCACGTCCGCAGATGACCTCCTCTGGGAGTGGGTCATAGATGCTGCAGTTGGGCATGGGGCCCTTGCAGTAGATGTTGAGGTAGCCACGGTACTCTGCCCTGTACACCCGGTTCTTGAGGCACAGAGCCACGTTCTTGTCGCACTCGCACGTCTGCTTGTCACAGTCTGTCTTGTTGAGCTCACCTGGAGACGGGAAGCGTGCAAGGCTTTGACTGAGGGGGCAGCAGCCGCACCAGGATGCAGGGCGTGGGGACACAGACCTTGAGAGCCCAGTGGCCCTCAGAATGTGACCCCAGGCCCGGCAGCCCTAGCACCCCTCTGAGCCCTATCCCAGGCTGGCGACAGCTGCCCTGCCCAGGGTCCTCAGTTTGTTGTAACAAACTCTGCAGTGACTCTGGTGCAGGCTAAAATCTGGAAACCACTGAAGTCCAACACCACTGTATAGTTGGAGAAAATGAGGCCCAGAAAGGGGGTGGGTTTATCTCAATCACCCCCAAAACCAAAGGCCCACCCCTGCCGGTAACTCTACTCTTCCTCCTCTCCCAGGTCCCCTCCCAGTCCCAGGGTCAAAACGCCCCACCCTGGAGGAGTGACTGGTAAGGATTAAGAGGCAAAAAGTAGCACTTATACTCATTTGTGCTTATACTTCTTAGTACTAATACCAAATGCATTTTAGGCTAATGTGCATTTTAGACTGACATTGACTTTTTAGTGCCAGTTTGTCCCATGCAATCTTTGGGACATGCTTATTCATTTGTCATTATTTTCAATTTTTTTTTTTTTTTCATCGTTTGCTGGAAATCCCAATGCCGCGGGGCACAACGGAGGACGAGACCCATGTTGAGGGGGTGACTCACTGCAGACAATCACAGTGTCGTTCTCGATCGCATAGTCATAGTGGTCCACGTAGGGGCGGCAGCCCTGGTCAAAGAGCTTCTGGTAACAGCAGTCATGAGCATGGCAGCACCTGGGGGCGGGCAGGGGTGAGCAGGCAGGTGTAGCCGGCCGGTCTGTCCCTCCTCCCCAGCAGAGACCTCACATCATCTGTCCCTGTCCCTCGTGATGCCTTCAGACTGTAACCCAGAGAGGGACAGTTATTTGCTTGAAGTCACACAGCCAGACAGAGCTGGGGCTGGTGTCCCTATTCTCACCTCTTTGTCCTATCCTCAGAGTTCTCACCTTCCCCACCTGGAGCTCAGCTACAGTTGCCGGGGTGTGGGGAGTGTGAGGAAGTCCGGAAATGAGGTCAGGGAGGGAAGGCCTGGGCTTAAGTCCGCGTGGAGGAGCTCTGACTGAATGCAGAGGCTCTACCTGCCTGGGCCTGATGTCTGGAGAAGAATAAGGCCTGGAGGGTCAGTGGGCATTGAGCGGGGGATGGAAAGTAGGTGCAGCCTGGCTGTCCCCATCACCTCTGAAGCTGATGGTTAGCATGCGTTTATTAAGCTCTCAGGGCTGCCAGACTTGGTACTGGCTGCTGTAAGAGAGATCGGAGTAGAAGCCACAGCTGAGGAAGCACAGCCCTGCCCTCCAGAGTCTCCAGTTCAAAGGAGCAAGTGTGCCGACCCTTGCCTTTTACAGCACTAGCCATGTGGCTCTTGCTCCCTTATGCATTGGGGGACCCAGCAAAGGTTCCACGCACTTCTCTGCCCAAGACATTGCAGGAGGAAGCAGAGATCATCCAAGATGTGGGGGAGACATGGTCAAACATCAGGCTCCCCGCCACTAACAACAAATAAGCCCCATCCCTTGGGAGAGGACTTTCTTTGTCTTCAGAGACGTGGAGGCCAACATGGACCGTCAGCTGTCCCCTCTGGTTCTCAGCAAGAGCCCAGATCACCAGCACCTACCAGTCCACTTCGTCCATGGGCTGGCCACGGCCCCCCAGCCCGCAGTAGCAGCCGTAGCCCACAAAGGACAGGATGGCGCCTCTGCCTGTGATGGTCTCCACCATGGACTTGAGGTTGAACAGGCTGCCATAGGCAGTAGAGAGAACTGCAAGGGAACCGGGGGGATGCGTGAGCCCTACCCCAGGATGGTCCTCCCCCTGCCCAGGGTCAGGGGAAAGGGGAGGGAAGGGGGAAAGGAGGAGAGGGAGGACAGTGGCAGCAGAGCAGTGGAAAGAGGAAATCTACAAGATCCCAAAGATGGTGCTTTACTGATGTCCTGTATTACGCCTTACATTCCTGAGAAACCAGCACGTTCGTGCCAGCTGGGGGCTTGCTCCATGCCAGGCACTGTCCCGAACTCTTCCACGCACCACTTATGGAGTGCTGCCTGCAGCCCTATGAGCAGTCATCCCATTTTACAGACAAGGAGACTGAGGCTGGAGCAATTTTTAACTTGCCCTAGGTCAGGTTGTTAGAAAGCAGTGGAGACAGGGGCTGGGGATTTAGCTCAGTGGCAAAGCGCCTGCCTGGTAAGTGCAAGGTAGTGAGTTCGGTTCCTGGTACCGGAGAAAAACCAAAAAAAAAAGAAAGAAAGAAAGAAAGAAAGCAGTGGAGCAGTGGAGACAGAACCAGGACCTAGGCAGGGAGGGTTCCTCACCCACACCCTGTGCCACTTGGGTGTACAAAAGCTCCTTGATTTATGATGGCACATCCTGATAAACCTATCATAGGATCACCCTGTGTATCACTAGCCTGGGCAAATATCCAAATTCAAAAAAAGATTTCTAGTGAATGTGTGCTGCTTTTGCATCATCATAAAATAAAAAAGTCATTCAAGTCAAACCATCAAAAGCTGGAGACTGTCTGAACATGATCTCCAAAGAGGGGCTGCCCTTGGGCCTCACACACTGGCAGGGGCTTTGCAAACGCCACCGGTGGTTTAGAGCTACAGGGCTGTGATTCTGGGTCCTTCCACCCGCTACCTGGCCCTGGCCTGATATCTGTGCTCCTGGATAAGATCCAGGGTCCCCACCTCCGACCTGGAGTTGGTGCATCTCAGCCTTAATCCAGAGAAAATTCAGAAAAAGCTTCCTATTGCAGGCTCAGACTGCAATAAGAAAGGCACACACACCTATTCATACACACACACACACACACACACACACACACACACACACACACGCACACACGCACACACACACACACAAATGCATGCATGGAAGAAGCAATAGTCAAGGACACTTCCTATACCAGTCAAGTCTACTTCCTGGTGCTCATGAAGCCCACCCAGTGCAGGAATGCATGGTCTTCGTGCCTATATCCTTTCCTGGGTGAAGCCATCCTGCACGCCGCGGAATAGTCACTCTAGCTCCATTTTATGGGTGAGAAAATTAAGGGCCAGAAAGGTGAAGGTTCGCCTGGGTCATACCAGTGGCAGAACCCAGAATGGAACCTGGGTTTGTTGCCCCCCACGCTGGGCTGCTAACCAGCATGCACCACAGACCCTATCTCAGTCTCTACCCTCGGGCTCCTCCAGCGGCACCCAGCGTTTGGTGTCCGGCTCAGTGCCTGCCTCCTGATCCCTCCACAGCCCCCACTCTGCCCTACTGCATGAACTAGGAAATGTTCTGAGAGAGAGAGAGGAAGCTGAGGATTTCAGAAACTGGAGGCTGGGTGGACCCCAAGGGCTACTCTTGCTTCTTGAGATGTGGTTGTCCAAAACTTCTAGTGATAGAGAACTCACTCACCACCTCAACTAACTTGGAAAAGTGCAGACTTTGTGGTCAGACAGACTTGAACCAAACACAAAAGCTCCTTGGGGCTCCATTTCCCCATCTGTACAATGGGAATGACTGCTTAGACTGGGAGAGACCCGCAGGCCAGTTCTTGGCTTGGGTCTGACATATCCCAAATGTTTGCAGCCATCATGGCGCCCTCTCTCAGGGCTTGGTGGGGCTCTGGTCTGTCTGGCTATCAGAGTGAAGAGCTTGGAAATCCTGCTCCCGCACTGTTCTTGGGTTTGGCTCTGTGGTTTCTGTCATTCAGAAAACAAAGAGCAAAGAAGAGGAAAAGAGGAAGAGCAGGGGAGAAATGAAAGATGACTCTGAAGAGAATGGCTTAGCACCGCGGAAGGGGTGCACACACGTGCATTCGTGCGCATGCGCATGCGCCTGCACACACTAATGCGTGCACGGAGGAAGCAATAGCGCGAGGCTGGGGCTCAGGACAGGGAGGGGGACCCTGCCTGCAGTAGTCGTGAGCCCTTCTCCTGCATGTAGACAGAGGGCTGGCCTGAAAGGGCTGCTGCAGAGAGCAGGTGACCGGGCTATTCTCCACCCTCTTATGAGTCCCGTGGAAGAAAATTGTGTGTGAAGCTGCTTGGGAGCCACCCAGGCCTGGGCTGGAAGATAGGTTTAACCAAGTTCCTAGGGAACTTGATTTCAGTTCTAAAATCTGAGGACTGGGGAGAGTGGCGCCCCCTTACAGGGCCCCTAGGGGGTTTAAGTGCCACCATGAATGTGCAGAGAGCACCTGGCCTCCGGTGCCTCGAGGAAGGACCCGGATGTGGGCCCCCTCTCTCCCCAGCAGTTGTGTGGATGTTATGAGGGGCATGGCGGCTCCAGGCCCCAGACCCCCTGGCTTCCAGCTTCCACAAAGCAAAGGAAGAGTAGGAAATTACCTGCCACACAAAGGGAAGGCTCATTCTCACATCCACTCCTACACTTCTCTGCCTCACACTATATAGTTGATGCATACACTCCTGCTTGCCCAGGCACCCGACACACTCACACACTTCACACACCAGCAGACGCTCATATTCTCCTGCCTCACAAATGTGCTCGCACACGTGGTCCCCCGGGGAGAATCAGTGGCCTGAACCAAGGTCACATCCACACACACACGCTCCAGGTGGAAGACAGTCATCCTGCATTGAGTCCAGCTAAAGGCTCTCGGGCTGGACACAGCGGTAGTTTTGTAATGAATAGGTCACCGAGCTCGGAGGCAAACAGCCCTTCCTCATGTCCAGCCACACTGAACCCCCTGTTTGTTCCTGGCATTTACTTCTCCACAAACCAGGCTGTGTTTAAAGACGGTGGGGGGGCTGGAGATTTAGCTCAGCAGCACAGCGCCTGCCTGGCAAGCGCAACGTCATGAGTTCAATTCCCAGTACCGGAAAAAAATAAACAAACAAACAAACAAAAATTCAAAAAAAAAAAAAAAAAAAAAAGACAGTGGGATAAGCCTGCAAAAGGTTTGGGCCACATTCCACGCACCCAAGGAGCCACCAAGGGGACGTCAGCGTGTGAGGTGGAGTCTGATTTGTCTCAGGAGCCTCACTTGACAATCCTGTGGGACAGCTGCCCCCACCCAGGATGACTGGACCCCCGCCCCTTGGAAAGGAGCCCACAGACCCACACCCACCCCTGGGCAGAGTTGTGTGCCTTACATTCACATTCACACTCTGGGGACACATGCCACAAGTAATGCACACTCACACCGACACATAAATAGGCTCGCACATTCAGTGTCAACCCTGACACACATTTTATAGACATGCGCTGCACACAGACATTCCCATATGCTCTGACACACCCAAACAACGTGCTTACCTGCATCTAGCTGCACACAAACTCATTAACTCCTGCAGACACGCACATGCGCTTAAGTACACACACGCTCGCCAATACCACCACTTTACAATGCTTGCTCAGCAATGCACCCTGCTGCTCGTAAATGCCAAGGCCCCTGGCGTGTTTACGGGTGGCTGAGGAGTAAATAGCCCCAGAGGAGTGGATCAAGCCTGATGGGGAAGTGGAAGCCCAGAGAGAGGAAGGAACCCCCTGGCCACTGGGGCAATGATACAGGTGCCCAGGGTCACAGGAGGGAGGCGGCAAGGGGAGGGAGGAGGGGGCTCCCAGAGCGATGCTCACCACTGCTGGCCAGGATGGCGATGGCCAAGATCTTCTTCACACCCAGGCTGGACCTGAGAGAGGAAACCTGAGCCTGAGTCTGTGCCCTTCACCGTCCGGCCATTCTGGGCCTCGGTACAGGCATCTCCCGGGCTGCCCCTCCGTGCTCCCGTAGCTGGCACCTGGCTGTGTCATTAAACTCCACCTGCTTGTCCTGGAGGAGCACACCCCAGGATGGCATAGTCGAGAGATGCCAAGACCACCTTCTCTCCACCCATCAGCTTCCAAGACAGCTACTGTCTCGGATCAGAGCTAACCCCTCCCCTTCACACTCCAGGGTGTGCACAGAGTCATGTGACCCAACCTGGAAGCCAGGTCTTGAACCCAGAGCCAGGAGACCTGGGTTCCTGGATTCTAGCTCTGGCTCTGCTTCCAAAATGTTGAGTGATCACGGACAGATCCTTTAGCCTTCCTGGGCCTCCAGTGCCACAAGAAGTTTGACTCAGTTTCCCCAAGGACCTTCTGGGGATGAAAATGCAGTGACATTTCTCAGCCCAGTGCTCAGAAACTCAGAGCTCTCCTTTCAGGAGAAATGGATCCTAGGAGCCGGCACAACCCGAATCCCTGGCCCTCTCCATCCCAGGGCAGCAGGCACCTACCTGGAGGGTCTCAATGGAGAAGAGGCCCTGAGGCTGGGGTCCCTCCACCCAGAGGACCATCTAACCAGCACCTTCTTCCTGAACCCTTTGGGGCTGGCCTGAGCCCCATCTGCCATGTTCTGGGTTCTGGGGGGCCAGTGACATAGGTCTTGAAATCTCCTTGACGTGCTCCGGAGGTTCTGGGGAGCAGGCCCCAGCTTCACACTGCCACGCACGCTGGCAGGGTAGGGCTGGGGCAATGCCCTGGGCAGGAGGCAGGTGACAGATGCCCTAGAAAAACTAGGCTCCGCCTCTTCCCTCCCACTGCCACGGCCCTGCCCACAGCTATCTGGTAAAGCTCCCACCTCCAGTGTGCGCTGGCTTTCCCTGCTGGGGGTTAGGCACCTGACAAAGAGTTGGCTCCTGTGTGTGTGTGTGCGCGCGCGGTGTGTGCGTGTGTGTGTGTGTGTGTGTGTGTGTGCGCGCGCGCGCATGCGTGCGCGTCTGACAGGAAATGGGCCCAAAGGCCTCTCTCTCTCCATCTGAAGATGCTAAAGAAAAAGTTATTCAGTGGCACTTGTAAAGCACAGTGGGGTGGAATTTATTCAAAGGTGTGGCAGCATGGTGGGTGTAGGGACCACTGCAATGGGATCTCACGATGAGGAGGAGAAACTGGACTCAAGTCCAAATACAGCAGTGAAAAATGGAGTTTTAGCTAAGGAGCAGGGTGGGGGTTGATGAATGGAAAATTACCAAGAAGAAACCCAAGGGATGAGGGGGTTCTTGCTAAACTGACTGAACAGGCTTATTACTGAAGAGGTTGCAGTGATCACCACCTAGAGGGTGGTGGAGGCCAAGGACCTGATCAGTCATGAAGGATGATCAAACAGATATAGAGGACAGAGTTCTGGCTAAACCAACCCAGCAGCATCTTTGCTAAAACTGGATGATGCAGAGACATGGAAGACATCCAGGCCCAGTTGCAGAGAGAGTTCAGAGGGGCTTGCGTCAAGTTTGGTCAAGGAAAATCTTTTGTCAAAGGGATCTAAGTACTTAAGGTGTCTCTCTGGAAAGAGTTAGTATGGAATCTGTAGCGGGCTGCCTACCTACATCTGGAAGGGGAGGGGCCCCTATTCATCTGGAAGCAAATCAATGTCCATGTCCACCTGGCTAAAACTAGAGGGGCCTGGGCACATACATCTGGCAGGAAGCACCCCAGCTCACACCTGGAAGGGCAATCCTGCTCGGCCTGACTGACCTGCTGAGTGCAGACCTCCTTTTTGTGGGGCTGCCCAGTGCATCCCCGCAGCAGGGCAGCATCCTTGACCTCCATGTGCTGCTCTCCCCTCACCCACCCTGGAGTTGTCATGACCAGAAACGTCCTTGGACATTTCAATGGGAGGCACCATTGCTTCTGGGTGAGGGCCTGGTACACTCAAGAGTCAGCACAAATTGGTTCTTGTTTGAGAGCAAATTGTGCAAGGAAGGGAGCAGGAAGAAGAGAAGAAAGGGGGGTCCTGAGCTCCAAGAGTCCCCCACCATCGGGCTGAGGAGTTGAGTTGATGGGGCTCCCATGCCTAGCACCCCCAGTTCCTGGTGGAGACCTTGATGGGAATGGTCCTCTGTTCTCTGTGTCCTCAGCTATGGAATGTGGAGTGTACAGGCCTCACAGAGTCAGGACCATCCTCGCAGATGTCAGGTGTCCTGTAGCCATGGGTTACATGGCTGGTGCTCAGTTTTTGGCTGGAGACCTGTTTGTTACAAAGCAGGGACCTGCTCTCTGGTACAAAGGTGAATCGGGTGGTTGGGAGGGAGAGAAGTTGACACTCCAATAATCCTCTTACCTGTACATGGATCCTTCTTAGTGGCCCCCAACCTGCTGACAAGGGACAGAAAGGAGCCTCCTGGAGCTTCCCTTCCTGCCCCAAGCTTTGCCGGCTTCCTCTTCTGGTTGTCCCCAACCAATCAGCCCATCTCATGTAGCACTCATTGCCCCCCCTTCCCTCCCCCGACCCTTCTTCTGCCCAACTTCCTCTCTGTGGAGCCAGGCCCCTCTCCTTCCCAGGAAGTCACCCTGGAAAAACCTCACCTTACCCTCTCACACATCCTTATGTGGGAAGGTGTTAATTTGCACTGGCTCACGCATTCCTTTGCTGCTCTCCGTGGTGTTTTGGTTTGTGGATCTTGATACTTCCCTCAGACTGTGGCTCCTGGAGAGCTGAGGTCCTTATTTCCTCCAAAAGCCCCAGAGTTCCCCGTGCAACAAGACTGGGAGTGGTAATACTGGTGCCTGCCGTCACTTGTCTGCACAAGGCTGGGATTATATTTTTGTTTGGATGATACCATCACACTCCAAAGAAGGAAGAACCAAGGCACATAGTGTGCTATACAGATTGCATACTGAGATACAGCCTTCAATCTGTAGGTGACGGGAAGCCACAGAGATTCGTGTTAAGGAGGTGAAGGCCAGGACCTTGAGAGCCTGTGGACAGCTCCACGGCCACTTTCTCCCCTGGAATTCCCACTGCAGGCACTGGTTGGGCAGGTCCTTAGAGAGGCCTGACCCTCCAGGGGAAGGATGAGCTCTTCCACTCCCCGCCCTCCCTCTACAGAGTACAATGTGCTCAATAATGAAGTCAATAATAAACTGGTCGACCCAGAAATTCTACTTCTGGAACTGTAAACCAAGATAAACTTGAGTTTTTCCCAGGGACAGATGAAAAAAGGATACTGATTAGTGTACTTTTATGAGAACTCCCAAATCAGAAGCAATTTAAAGGAGGAGATTTATTCAGCAAATTACTAACCATCCATCTATAATCATATCCTCATCATATATCTGATGATTTTATAAAAACCTACACCCATATATACAGGGTAATAGCAGTTGTTTTCAAACAGGGGACCAGTGTGTACCTATAAGCAAATCATTTGGGAAGATATATACAATGGATTAGTAAATGGTCATCCGTAGACAATAAAATGACTTGAGATTTTTATTTTCTTGTTTTTAAATTTTGTATGAATATGAGCATAAGGATATATTTAAAAACTAAGATAAAATGGTTCATTTCCTTAAAAGAAAAACTCACACAACTGGAAATAGCCTTAGAACTATGGAAGATATAGTCTAAAGGTGTCTGTCTTGTGGCAATCCTCCTGCCTCAGCCTCCGAGGTTAAATAGCCTTACAGCTCTAGAGTATGTAGTTTAAAACCATCCCATGAACAAACTCCAGGTCCAGATGACTCTACTAGCGAATTCAACCAAATACTTCAGGAAGAAATAATACTAATTGTATTAGTTAGGGATTCCACAGAAAATACCACAGCCTGGATGTTTAAACAGCAGTTGTCATCTCACAACCTTGAAGGTTGAAAGTCCAAGATCTAGGTGTTGGTGGGGCTGGTTTCATTCTGAGGACTCTCCCTTCAGATTGTGGAGGGCGTGCCCTTTTCAGTGTCCTCCTGTGGTCTTTCCTCTGCACAAGCACCTCTGTTAGGGCTCTTCGGGCCTTGAGTTGAGCACTTTTCATAAGTACATCAGTCATGTGCACTGTTTGGCTTCTAGTTTCATGGGAAATTGAATGGATTGGTGCCATTCTCATTGTAATATAATCACCTCTTTAAAGGCCCTGTCTCCTAACAGTCACATTCCAAGGCACTGGGTACTAGGACTTCAACACTTGAAGTCTGAGAGAGCACAGTTTAGCTCATAGCATCAATTACACACAGAGCCCTCCAGAAATTTTAGACAGAGAGAGTGCTTTCCATCTCACTCTAGTAAGCCACCATTATTTTGATACCAATGTCAGATAAAAACATTACAAGCAAATACATCTACAGGCTAATATTCCTCATGAACATAGGCACAAAGGTCCTTAACAAAGAGTGGACAAACATTAGGTAAGCAGGAAAATATACCATGACCAATGTGAGTTTTGTTTTTGTTTTTTAGACAGTGTCTCACTATGTAATCCAGGCTGGCCTTGAACTTGTGGTGATCCTCCTGCCTCAGCCTCTCAAGTTCTAGGATTATAGGTGTGCTCCACCACACCTGGTCCAAGTTGAGTTTTATCCCAGGAATAAAAGGATGATTTTACATTAAAAATCAGCCTGTGTAATAACAATGGTAATACCCTAAAAAAAAAAAAAAAGATCTCCTCAAAAAGTGGAACAAAACACCAACCACCAAATAGCATTTGATGAAATCCAACATTCATTTCTGATCAAAAGTTGTTCATAAACAGACTCCAAGGAGCAAATTTACAAACTTGCCAATAGGGGCCTGACTCCTTCACAAATCAGTGTGATCCTGAGGAACTCGGATGGTGTCGCACAGGTGTGTTTGGGGATGGGCCATGAGATAAAAGCTGGAGAATGTGTCCGGTACAGAGGACTTGCTCTTGACCTTCCTGAGGGTCATCAGGAAGAAAGCAGTTGTTTACAAGCATCTTGAGAGGGATAAGTAGGAAAAGGATGATAAATGCTGCCTGGGTCTGATAACCAAATCTATTGACTGACTCAATATTATGACACCAAATGAGTCCTCCCCTGCAACTGGAATATGAGTCACCTACAGTCTCTGTCTTGATTGCATACATCTGTCTATGCACCCCAGCAATAAAGTCATTGTTTACCTAAAAAAGAAAAACCCTGCAGAATCTATTAAAAAGCTACTGGAACTAATGATTTTAGCAAGGTGGTCAGATATAAGAGAAAAATACAAAGCAGTAATAATTTCACTTCTACCTACTAGCAGTGAACAATTGAAAATTAAAAATTTAAAAATGTGTGTGTGATAAGATCCAAAAATATAAAATATTTTAGGGATAAAGTTGACAAAAATAGGGAAGATTTATATACTTAATGCTATAAAACAATGCTCAGAGAAGTCAAGGCAGACCAAAGTAAGTTGAGAGGTAGACCATGTTCATGAAATTGGGAGATTCAGAGTCCTTAGGAGGTTAATTCTCTCATTCTCTTTATGGAGCCAAAGCACTCTCAACCAAAACCCTAACAGACTGTTCTTGCAAAAATGGGTAAGCTGATCCTAAAATTCATATGGAAATTAAAAAAATGTCAAATAGCCAAGTTAACTCTAAAAAGAAAAATAAAGTTGCAAGACTTATAATACCTGATTTTGAGAATTATAAAGTCACTATAATCAAGACAGTATGGAATTGGCCTAAAGAGACAGTTAGAGCAACAGAACAGAACAGATGGTCCAAAATTAGACCATAAATGTGTGGAAATTTTATATTTGACAAGACTGCAAAAGCAAGTCCTTAGAGGTAGAATAGCTTTTCCAACAATCATACTAGACCGATTGGCTGTCATTATTAAGGAAA